CAACAGAATGTATTAACAGATTTTTTAAGGGCCGACAGAGAAGAGGAAGAAGATCTGGCTGATCTCTTCTACCCCCCCCCCCCCCCCCACCTCCTTCTCCAAATGCATGACCTCCAAACATCATTTTTTATATTGAGTTGGAGAATATTCAGAAATCTAGTTTGCCCAGTGCGTATTCCATCTCTAAAAATCAACACTTTGTGATTTTACCTGAAAGTTACTTCCACTTTGTACAATTTCTGCCTAACATACTGAAACTAAACTAATTCAGTCTCCAAGTTTAGATCTTTGCTGAATCAAAAGGGGCAGCTGACCAGACTGTTCCCCAATGGATCCCAAGCCACTGCAACTTATGGGAATTGAAAGAGAAGACGACTCAGTGAAAACTGGAAGCAGTACAGGACAGCCAGATACAGCTTATACTTCTGAGGGAGAAAAAACCCAGATCAAGGCAGCCACTGAAACCAACTGAAACGCTTCTAACCCAGAATACAATCCCAAAGACCGAATCGACCTCCTCACACGAAAGCACCAAACCATTTTTTTTTAATTGCAAACTGGACATAATCAACTTCACACCCATATTACAAGAAATTGAAGACTGGGGACTCAGATCTTTGCCATGAGGACACACTCCACTGAATACTGAAACCAAGTTGTATGGGTGAGTGAAGGACATGAGTCGTACCATAGCCTCATGGAAGTCAGTAGCCTCATCCAAAAACCACTAAAAAGGAGAACAGGAAAACAAAATTAGAAATAGTTCAGTGTGCACAAAACAACTCTCCAATCTGGCCTCAGAGCCAACCAGACAGAAATCTAAATGCAACCACTGTAGAGAGAACAGTTTCGTGTGTCTGAAAATGTACAAGTGGACTTCATATTGTGAGCCATTGAAGTTATTGTACAAACACATTTTAGTATAATATACATTTTATATTTATCGCCCCCCGTGTGGGGTTCATTTTGGGGGGGAGGAAACAATATATATACTGCCCCAAAAGCATGTCGTAAGAGTTGTGGGGAAGCTTCCTTTAAGTCGGAGTGCATCTGCCAGAGAGGCAAGGAAACCAACAGTTGTATTGAGAATCAGATCTGTAAAACTGATGCACAAGCAACACTCAGGTTCTGGAGCAGGACTGAAGTTCAGTAGTGGACGAGCAACCAGAACCTTCCGCCAGAGTTTATAGCTGGTGAATGCGAAGAAGAAGATATATATATATGCAAAGTCATTGAGATCTATTCATGGCTTTGGGCAGAGATTAACTCAGACAGCACATGGTGTCATGACTAATATTGATCACAAAGGTTTGTATTCCTAACAAAGATTGTATACCAAGCAAGTGTTTGCTTCTAAACAGGGCGTATACCAAGCAAGTTTTTGCTTCTAAACAGGGTGTATACCAAGCAAGTGTTTGCTTCTAAACAGGGCGTATACCAAGCAAGTTTTTGCTTCTAAACAGGGCGTATACCAAGCAAGTTTTTGCTTCTAAACAGGGTGTATACCAAGCGGAATGTAAATCAAAGTGAACATATACTCGGGTACCACAGTATGTATGCATATATATATAGATACATATATATATATATCTGTGTGTGTGTGTGTGTTTGTAATGGTTTAAGTTGTCATTCATTGTGTTTACTGGTACATATAATGTGCATGCTGAAAACAGTAAGACACATAATTTCTTATCCTGCTACAAAGTCATTTCAAACAAAATAAGCTTTATATTCTGGAAAATATCCCTGAAGTATCCTTACAGAAAGAAAACAGATGGCAAGATGCTTCGTAAAAAAGATCATCTGCAGATCGGTAATAAATAATGACTGTAATGCAATTAACAATGGGCTGGTTGTATGGTGAAAGTTCTGCAGTATTTGTTACATAAATACATGATGTACATAAGTTATGGAATGAGGAAGACAATTTAACCACATAAAAAACAAATTGGAATAATAATACATGCAATAAATTGTCAAGAAAAATATTTACCTTTAAAAAAAAGTGTAAGTATGGAGCATCTGTGTGTGGGTTTAGTACCTCATTGGGGAATAGCCCCACTGACCTTTCACATACAAAAGGTAAGAGACAACTACATAAAGGTTTGCTGAAATCATGTGTGTTGTGCTGAAAGGTGAAAATGTTGCAGCCTGGTGGTAAATCACAACACAATGTGCAAACTGTCCTTTTCAGGGCAAATTAAGAAGACAAAAGAAAAAGAAGAAGGAGCAGGCAAAGGAAGAAGAAGAGGATGAGGTGAGGAAGAAGAAGAAATAGAAAAACAGGAAGAGGAAGAAGAAGGAGGAGGAGAAGAAGAAGGAGGTGGAGGAGGTGGAGGAGGAGAAAAAGGAGGAGGAGGAAGAGGAGGAGAAGAAGAACTTACACTACCACCATTTACAGAACAACAAATGATGAGAATGATGCTTGCAACTGATCCCCGATGCACCCAGAAACTCAATCCAAGTATCTGATCTCACTGGACAGGTTCGTATCCAGCATGTGACCTACATCTGCTGCTTCTGCAGCAAGGCAGGCAACAAAGACAGCACAGCCAGCAGGGTTTCTCAAAAGGTCCCAGCATCAATGGTTCAGCCTCCACACTACAGGTGGCCAGCGGCTCACGGTACCTGAACACCTGCAACAACAATGGTAGATGGGTTATCACTTGTTCTATCACTGGCATGGAGTCATTCAACTGTTTAAAACATGTTAGCTGCATATCCTCTACATCAAACTTGCAAACCAATCTGTCAATGTGTTGGCTTTTGTTTGGTTTTACCAGGCAATTTGGTATTCAGTAGTCGGCTACAGCATCTTAATGGTTGACTTTTATGCTATTTTCAAAATCAACATGAAGCGACATGCTGCTAAACTGCTCGCAGCTGAATCCAACCAGGTATTCTGGAATTACAAAACAAATTTTGAGGAGAGTTGGTCTGGATACGAGAGACAAGACAGACTGTATTCTGATAGCTAGAGTTTTGTAGTTGGCTTCTTTAGAAACGTAGTGACGGATTGGATACTGTGAATTGCGATAGGTTAGCCTGTGATTATTTGTCAGCTTGATAGTATTCCAGATTTAATATTGCTATTTATAGTCAGTTCATCAAAGGAAGCTCCTAATTAGTCAACTATTTGACATGCTTTTGGGAGGGGGGGGGGGGAATATGCTTTTCTTGTTTTCCTCACAGTGGGGCCCCTGAACTCACATGAGGATAATGAAAAAACACACTCTTTTATGTATTTTGAACTTCCAACATGAGGTTACAAATGAAGGCAGCCATTACTGCCAACTGGCCAGAGCTTTCATAATTAGGGAAACTCCATATCAACAGCATATAATAGAACATTGTCATATTTGAGCCTGTGTGTAAGCATGCATGAACATATATCTTTAGTGCAGTGGTAGTCCGATATTATTAATAATATTTGCTGAATCCCTTATCGCTTAATTACCTGTATGTTCATAATGGGGTGGGGGTTTTGCTTTTAAAGAAGAAAAAGAAGAGAGCCATGTCGTGGGTGTTGGAAAAGGAAAAAGGAAAAAGCTTGCATCGGAGGCGGAGAGTTTCGGACCCTGCTAACATCCTGAAGCAACCATAAGGCCAAAATGTGGCTGGCAATTTTAAAGCAGTCCTGCAGGTTGTGGTGGGGTATGATAATGGGAGCCAACTCTGGGGTAAACTATCTGTTCCTTTTTTTTTTTGTAGTTACATTAACTCTCTGAGGCCCAAGCAATGCTGTGTATGTTGATTGAGAAGTTCCAATTTACCCAAAATGTTGATCGTGTGTCTCATACATATTGATTCGCAGACAGCTTCGTATTCGTTTCTTATTTTTAGAACTACCATTCAAGCATTCAAGGGAAGATTACTCTAACATTTTTCTTTGTAAACAAGTCTATGTTTCCACGCATGTGGGTGCAAACTGATCTGATTCATTGCTAGCGTGATTTTCAGACAATGCATTTTCCGATTTCGTGTCCATGGTTACCAATGTTCCGACATAAGCACACACTGAAAAATGCGCCTTTCAGTGGCTGAAGCTCTGAAACTGTTTTAGTCAGATGTTTTCTAATAATGAAACATTACAATTTGTCAGAAAGTGATTCGGACAGTAAATTTTTGTATCCTGTAGCTGGTATTCTTTGTTTATAGTTCAAGACTTTGTACCCTGTAGCTGGTATTCTTTGTTTATAGTTCAAGACTTTGTACCATGTAGCTGGTATTCTTTGTTTATAGTTCAAGACTTTGTACCATGTAGCTGGTATTCTTTGTTATAGTTCAAGACTTTCTACACTGTAGCTGGTATTCTTATTCTGTTTATAGTTCAAGTCTTTGTACCCTGTAGCTTCTTCTTCAGCATTCCAAGCTCTTGGGATTCACAGTTTTAGATACCGCCCATATTCAATCATTTCTCTGGTTGGCCTCTCCTTTCTTTTCATCAACTAGTTACCACTAATAGTTTGTCATGTATTAATTTACCACCAAGTGGTAAAGAACTAGCCAGCATCTCTGTCTCTTTCCCAACACTCCTACATACCCTGAAGAAAGTATCCAGATGATGTTAACTACCGGGAACCTATGAAGTGATGTTTGCCATTCTACATGGAGCGTGTTTTGTAAGCCTGTTACAATTATGACATGTGTATGCAGCTGGCTTTCCAACCAGCATTTCTTCTTCTTTTTTGCATTCACTGACTGTAAACTCTGGTGGAAAGTTCTGGTTGTTCATCCACCTTCTGGACTGCAGTCCTCTTCCCCAACCTAAGTGTTGCGTGTGCATCTGTTTGACAGATCTGACACCTCTGTGTGCAGACTGTTGGTTCCTTGCCTCTCCGACTTCGAAGAAAGCTCCCAATTAGTCGACTCTTGCGACAAGCTTTTGGGTAGGCAGTGGGTCTATTCTTGTTTTCCCTATAATAGGGCCCCGGAACCCACATGGAGGCAACCAGCACATGATATATATTGCATCATTAAGCAACATACCCACAACTCACCTGCAGGGACATGAAAGCTCTCCCACGGAACAGAACCACAAGATGCTGACGGCTGTTGACTGCACAATCAATAGGCTTCACATCTTGGCTGACGGACTGCCCCATGAGATAAGTTTTCTCAATAGCACAACTCTGGAACCGAAAATACCTGTCGAAAACCTGTACCCGATAGTTATTACTGTCACAGATGTATAAATGCCGACTGTTATCTGCAGCTACACCAAATGGATAGAAGAAGTTTCCATACTCACTTCCAAACTGTCCATAAAAGTCATATGCTAAATATTCAGGACCATAAAAGACCCCAATTCTGTGGTTTCCAGTGTCACTCACAACAACCTCGCCTACCACGGTGTGGGTCAGATGGGTCGGGTAGTAAATCCCGTGATGGGAATGTGTGGCTAGATCCACAAACTGGCTTGCGTTCACCTGCCGGATGACAGTGTTAGCATAACACAAAGACATAAACAAAATGTCAGGATCAATTACCAGCAATCCACTAACATCTCGGATATTTTTCTGGTATGTGCATTTAAAATTGTTAGGATCTTTATCAAAAGGAGCCGTGTAAACCATAATTCCTTTCACATCTGCCCGACGTCCCATCGCACAAAACCGTTCTGTGCGATCCTTTTTTGATGGAGGACAAAAGCAGACGTCAATAATTGGGTGGTGAAATGCCTTGTAGCTGAATGGTTTGCGATGAGTCTTGTAGAGGACAGCTTTGTTCCAGGTGGTGTCGACCACAACCACATGTCCTGTGTGTGTGCTAACAGCAATCGCATTTGGGTGCCGCATCTCCAGAACATCCTCTCCATGTCGAAGGTCATACTGATACAACTTTTCAGCATTTGTATTACCAGTAGTAGGCTGATCCCTACAAGAAATTAATTAAAAAAACATGAAACAGATATCAGGAAAACCTATTACACAAAAAAAAACATTATTTAAGAGCAAGTTAAATAAAAAAATAAATTTAAAAAAAGAATCAAATTCATGAGGAACCGCCTGTGGTTCAGTAGTTAGCCCAATGGTCTCCAATCTTTTCAAGTGTTGCTCCACCCCACAATTATATGGCATGATCCCTCCCTCTCCCCCCAATTATATGATAAGAGCCCCCCCCCCCCCCCCTCCCACTTAACAAAATGCATTTAAAAAGAGGAGGATAACAAGACAAATCTCAAGCACTGTTAACAGGAACTGGGGAAAAAACATCCACACAAATTAAAATGTAAAATACTATAAGATATCATTAGAAGGTGCTCTTAATTTTTAATTAAACGCACATATTTTCATATTATTCTATATTTTGAATTGTAGATGCACAAACTGCTCAAGAAAATAAAAACGTCATTGACTTTTGTTTTATTAATAGTTTTACAAAATATTTTTATAATTAAACTGGGAAAACATTTTAGTATAATGGATTTATACAAGTACATAAAAACTCAATTTTAAAAATTGATGCCCCTATCCCCCTCCTCCTCCAATCTCTCTTCAAGATACCTCCCACACCCCGCCCCCCCCACAACCCTCAGAAGTGCATGCCTTCCAGTTTGGAGACCGCTAGGCTGAACCCTCGCTTAAACATTCAAAGTTCAGGGGTTCAAATCTACTTGGAGCAAGATATCTTTTAACACAATCGACCTTTGTTCCTAGGTCGACTAAGTCTTAAATGGGTACTAGGTAAAGTCATGAGAAGTAAAGGCAGCTAGCATGATGTTAATCACATCCCCCGTCAGGAGCCTTTTAAAAAGATCTATAAAAATATGAGTCTAATATCATAGGCCCATAAGATCCTGGTGTGTAAAGAGACCTTTACTTTTAAAGTAAAAAGTAAGTAAAGTAAAGATCCCTTTTTACGCCTTAGGAGAATAGAGCATATGGGAAGAGCATCCCATATTTTTATAGACCAATTGGCACTAGGTGCGTAATGTGGTCAGCATTACGTCAGCCATCTTTACTTTCCCAGGAAAGCCATCCTGGTACCCATTTTAGGCTGGGTCAACCTGCGACGCCCCATACCACGATAAAAATCCACTCAGCCAGCAGTGGGTTTTGATCACGGTACGTTGGAATTACGAGTCGGACTCGCACGCCTAAGCCACAGACGCGACCTTTACTTTTACTATTTACAAATTCATGACAAATATAAACAGCAATAAAATGTGTCTAAACATTTAGATAAATGTGGCTGCTTTATGTAGGAACATATTCGTATACCTGAATTTATGTCAGTTCTATTTCTTTTACCACTGTGAACAATAGTGGGGGGGGGGGGGGGGGGGGCTGATGTTTATGTTACCACTAAACAACACAAGCTGGTGTTAATGTTACTACTAAACAACAGGGGATGGTATTTTATTACAACTACACAACAGGGTCTGGTTTATGTTAGCCCTAAACAATGGGGGATGATGTTCATGTTACAACTAAACACTGGGGGGGGGGGGGGGGGTGTGATGTTAATGTTACAATTGAATGCTGGGAGATGATGTTTTGTTACAATTAAACAATGGGGATGATGTTCATGTTCCCTATGTAACAATATTCACAAGTTATGGAAATACCCCTTCAGCTCTAAAGTATGGTTGTCCTATGTCAGGGCTATTCAACTAAGCTGACACAGGGGCCAAAATGTTCAAAAATGGGGATCGTCAGGGGCCAAAAAACCCAGCCCCAGCATAGAAAGACCATAAATGCAGTACAACTAGCAGCTATCCGCGGGCAACTTGCAAGGCCTTGGCGGGCCAGATTGTGCCCGCGGGCTGCCAGTTGAATAGACCTGACCTATGTGAAGGAAGAAAGCCATTCAATTCATGTTTGCCTGCTATGTTTATTTGTTTGTCTCTAGGACTCTAAACAAAGCAGGGATGAAACTATCCACAATACATCTCTTGTGGCAGATAACCATACAAATTATGAGCCTAATACAGTATCCCAATATGCCTGAATGGCATGCAAACATTATCATCATCCTTTTATGCCACTTATTATGTCGCACAGGACTTGCAATCAATTCCTCCATTTTGTTCTATGCTATGCAATCCTTCTGATACTGTGCATAGAATCCAGTCCAAGACCTTCTGACCTTTCTCATTAATGATCATCAAAGGCTTCCTGTTGGGTGTCCTTGGTTTCTTAACTCATTTATTTCCAATTTAAGTGGTCAGAATCCTGCAAAAGGGAGAGATTTTCAGTACTTTTACATATTTTTAATTTACTTTTACATTTGCTAGATAAAACTTGAATGCAAACAGAATGAAGCCATGTGAGTAATTCTGGAATGTACAGGAGATACCCCAGTAGTATGTATGAGATGTATATACTTGCATTGCCTACTATTGCTGATAGGCTCAAAGTTCTGCAAGCAAGGTCATATCTCAAAGTAGCACAGACAAGAAGCCCTCCTGCATAAAGCCCTGGGTCACAGACTGAAAAGAGGAAGGTCTTGGATGGCACAAGCTGAAGACACGCCTGGATATGTATGCAGGCTCGATAAATTTCAGCAAGGAGAGGAGTGGGTCAAAGTGTCCAAGCAAGTTTCAGACTTGTGTAGAGTTCTTATCACTCTGGGTCCTGAGTGTGGGGACTGACCAGCTGGTGCTGCAGAATCAGAAGTTCAACAAATGATTCATGACAATTCCCGCCCAAGTGATGTGATTACCTATACAGATGGCTCTGTGTTGAGAGGTGGACGAAGTGCATGTGGGTTTCATAGCAGCAAAGCTGGCATATGATATCACAACATCTAGTTTGAGAATGGAGATGGAGGCGGTCACTGCTGCTGTCTTCTGTTGGCCTGAGAATCAGCTGTAGACATATGCCATGATTGTAACGGACTCGCTGAGCATGTTGAGAAAGGTGAAGACAGGCATGCTCTGTGCAGAATGGCAAGCATCACTTCAGAGGTCCCAGGTCATTAGCATCCTTTGGATATTTTCTCCAGGTCATGCCGGTGTGTTGGGAAATGAGCAGGCAGATAGACTGTCCGGTCCTGCACCGCTTGGAGGTGAGCTGATGTATGACAATCTAGATATTGTGAGGGCTCTTTGGGAGCGAGTAAACAGTATGGAGGCGCACAAAGATCATTTCGGTCTGGGGAGAACGGCACTGAGAGGAGTTACAAGGGGATTTGGCCGGCACTCAACACTCAAGGGAAAGGCGAGACGGATATACGGTCAGACAGTTACTGGTGCCATCAGAATTGGAACACTTTGCTTGCTGCTGAAGATGGGGACGGAGCACTTATGGGAGGGGGGGTTTTCCTAAGTGCTGTGATGTAGATTCTTAATTTAAAATTCAACAACACTGGATAGTAAGATCTAAAATAATGTAAAGATGAAAAATACAAGAATCCTTTTAACACAACCAAATGTATGCATCTCAAATGTGATAGTGTTGACAATAGTAACCTACTCATTTGTAAGCAGAATACTGTCCCTTCCCTGGCACTCTCGAGTCACATGATCTAGATGGGACTGTAGATCCTTGTTGTACACAATTTCAGAGCTGTCCTGTGTCAAATCCACGTTTTGTGCTGTCCTGGGGTTTGAAACAGCAACATTAGCTCGCTAGAGGATACAAGTCATAAATGTGGACAACATTAACAGGCATACAAGACTGGCTTTTAAAACACACATATATCTCTGCATATGTGTGTGTGTGTGTGTGTATGAGAAAGAGAGAGAGAGTGTGTGTATGTGTGTGCATGCGGGGATGTGTGTATAAGATATGGTAACAAAATGTCAAGGCCACATTTGCATGGCATATTTTTCAAGATCTTGAGGTCAAGACCTTGTGCCAGCATGGTCCTCCTCGCCGAAATGTGTGCAATTTTTCCAGGATCAATGGCAAACTATAACTCCAAGGCTACTGGTGATCCCAACCCCTGCTGAGTTGTCTACTCTTGGTAGTTTTTCATGGGAGAAGATATCATCATCATCACGAGCAGTGAAGTAAGAGACCATCAGCATGCCCATGTTGTATCAGGTAAATGATGCTACACTCATACTCTTGAAGACCAGTCAGCACTCAATGGCTGATGTGGCCACCTCCTTTTACTTTCCAGGACTATACCTGGTACCCGTTTTAGGCTGTGTCGACCCAGCAGCCAAGTTGTTGTTTTTTTTTTTTTTTTTTTGGGGGGGGGGGGGGGGGGGGCATTTTAAATAATCCGACTTGATGTGGATCTGAACCCAAGATCTTTGGACTGGCAGACGAGCATCACAATCTTATGCCATGTCTGTAAACATAGGTGGTCATGGTTTTCACACTCACATCTCATAGACGAGGTCATCATTTTCATTTCAACAATGTCACATGACCAAATCAGCCAGGTGGTTCTCCTTAAAACTATGGCCACTTATTATGGAGTACGCCGGAGTTCAGTCCCCTGGCCGCATTGCAATTAGGGAGCGGACAAGAGAGAACGACACAAATGACGTAATTACTGTGTGTTTGCGATAGATGCACTGCTGTCATGTTAGGGTTAGGGTTAGGGGAGGGTTAGGAGTGGCCGTAGTTTTAAGGAGTACCAATACCCTAACCCTAACCCTATTATGACACCAGTGCATCTATCGCCAACACACAGTATTTACCTTATCGGTTCACGCTGTCTATCACCAACACACACTAAGTACGTCATTTGTGTCATTCCCTCTTGTCCACTCCATAATTGGAATGCGGCCAGGGGACTGAACTACGGCGTACTCCATAATAAGTGGCCGTAGTTTTAAGGAGAACTCAGCCAGGTATTTATCTCTGTGTCTCTCCCTTGTCCTTTTTCCAAAAGTCGCTTGATGTCGCTAAATATCCATTAATTTCTCCTCACACCCAAAAAAATCTCAACTGTGAACATCTAATTTCTCTAATCAACTAATAGTTTTCATCTATTTCTCCAAGGATGGGTCAATCATGTTTCTGTTCACGATTTTCTTTGCATTTTCTTTGAGAAATTACTTATGTTGCCAGCCGAGTTTTCTTGGCATGTTTTCTCACTGCAATTGACACTAGAAAATGTTAGAACTATCTGATAAGATAATATGTTTTCCCAAATACAAAAAGCAAGCATTATTTTGTGAGATGTTGCTCTGGTTACATCCTAATTTGCCTCTCCATAGATGTGAACTTCCAGAACCAGTCTTGCACATCCAGCTGGTTTATGAGCTTTAAGAGAGGAAGCAGAGTTCTTTGGGTTTGGGTGCTTGCTTGCTTCTTGTAAAAACAAAAAAAAAGATAATCCGATCTCGTTCAGACTTTTCAGCTATTTGTAGCTGGTGTCTATAGTTGTGATCTTTATTGTGTAGGACTGGTTCATTTATGGTTTCTTTTGGTTCCATTTTGTCTTGTTGTACTAGCCTTGGGTTTGGGTTGGATGGAAAGTTTATATACCAACCCCCCTGACCATAATGGTGAATGTCATTGTCAAGGTTTACATTCGTTGTGTGGGTTCCAGAGCCCAGATTTTGAGGAAAAAGCGTTTTAACAAGCACTTTATGAAACTTTACAAAGGGTTTTTATGAAACTGATGTTGGGCTGAATGACGCAAATCTCTCAGCCTTGCCCTAAACCATTACAAAATATGCTAATAGCCCTTTCAAGAGTGAATGCAGAAGATAAGAAGAAGGTTTCAAGAATCAGAATAACAAAGCTGCAGATAGATGAGCACCAATGGAACATGTCCTGGGTATGGTGAGGATTCTATAACTTGTAAAACATGTTTCTCATCTTACCCTGGTTGGCTGGATGTCCTTTCACACCACTCACTAGGACAGGTCATCTGGGACACGTGTGCCATCTCTTGTTGAGCTACTGATGTTGATGTAGAGGACTGTCGATTTTCTTTCAGCCATCGAAGCCGCTCCCTGTAGGTCAATCGCAACAGCCATGTGTTTGTAGGAAATGATTCAAGTTCACCATTCAGCGTGTAACATGGGTACAGACAGACGGGACAGGGGAAACAACCTTCCCAGGCAAAGAAATTGTACTTCTCTGGTTTTTGTTCTGCTTGCAGTGAAATCTGAAACAAACAAAGAGATGTATCTAAATAAAATGTGTTTCTGTGTGTGTGTGTGCGCGTGCACATGTGATGTGCAAACATACACACACACACACATATATATATATATATGCATGCATACACACATGCTCAAATATGACAATGTTCTATTATATGCTATTGATACAGAGTTTCCCTAATTATGAAAGCTCTGGCCAGTCGGCAGTAATGGCTGCCTTCATTTGTAACCTCATGTTGGAAGTTCAAAATACAATAGGAATAAACTCACAGGGAGCAAGTACAGCAGGGATCTACCAGTCGTCAGTAGAAATTCTCCTCGTCAACGAGCGTTTCGGCCCACGATTCCTAGACGCTTTCGGAGGTGGGCCCACCTGAGTTCATGAAGCTCAGGGCTGGTTCCCTGCTGCACGAAATTACCGGATGGTGTTTTTCTTTCGGTTAGAGACAAGTCGACTTGGTGGTTTGCAGAAGGTACTGTGAGATAAGAAAAGAGTGATTTGTTCGTTATCCCAGTGTGGGTTCAGGGGCCCCACTGTGAGGAAAACAAGAAAAGCCTATCCCCCCAAAAAAAGCCTGTCAAATAGTCAACTAATTGGTAGCTTCCTTTAAAGTCAGAGTGCATCCACCATGAGCGGTAAGGAATAACCAACTGTCTACAAAAAAGCCATTGAAACAGATGTACATGCAGAACTCGGGCCCTGGTACGAAGCCAAAGCCCAAATGGACAAACAACCAGGACTTTCTGCAGGAGCTTACAACCACTGAACAAAGAAGAAGGAATAAGAATTTGGATTACATTTGTGCAAGTTTTTTTCCCTTTCCCTCCTTTGAACTTTCTAGTGGCAGTTTGTTTCTCCTTCTTCGCATTCATAGGCTGTAAACTCCGGTGGAAAGATCTGGTTGTTTGTCCACTTCTGGACTCTAGTCCTGTTCCAAAAATTGAGTGTTGCGTGCAATGTTTTTTACAGGCCTGACTCCTTTGCATGCAGACTGTTGGTTTCTTGCCTCTCTGGCAGATGTACTCTGACTTAAATGGAAGCACCCAATTAGTTGACTCTTGCAATGTGCTTCTTGTTTTTCCCACAATGAGGCCTCGGAACCAACACGGGGAGCAATTTGTTTTGTTTGGTTACTTCCTGATATTAGCTTGACTGCAGTCACCCCTGTTTTCTATACCAAAGATTTATATATTTATTTATGTGTATCAGTGGTGTAACAATCGATTAATCAAGTGCCAGCTTCACAATGTAAGTCGGCAATGGATCTTAAATACTTTATCTCTCACTCTGATTGTATTCTCTCCAACACTGTTGTTCCTCTATCTCTTGGTATTATCCTCCAGCTTGTATCGCTGTCTACCTCTTGCTTGTTTACCTTAAATTTTTCTCACCAGTAGGGTTTTAATCAGAGTGCTATGTCAGAAGAGAGAGGATGAGAAATTATTATATCAGGAATTAAGTTGGGATGGGACCGGTATTAAACTACTTCAAAAGATAACAAATCAAATGGTTTGGACAACAGTCAAGACTACTACCAGATGGTGCACCACAGAGAGCCCTGCCACTGAGACACAATGGAAGCAGAGCACGCAAGTGATGGACAGATGGATATCCAAGGTTGTAAATGCCAACATCTATGTAACGCATACCAAGGCTCTCACTTGATGCCGTTTCCTAATCTGATGTGAAAGGTAGAAGAGGGATAGAGAAAAAGAAGAAGAAGAGGATGTCCTTTCAGTGCAGCCTAATTATTTTTCCCATCTCCTTTTATTTCTTTAAAGAACTTTCTCTTTTACTTCCCACTTAATTCTCTAAAAAAACTATCACTTTGTTTCTATCTTCTTCTTCTTCGTTCACCGGCTGTGAATTCCGGCAGAAGGTTCAGGTTAACCGTCCACTTGGACTTTTGGCTTTTACCTGGACCTGAGTTTTGCGTGTACAACCGTTTTGCTGTTCCCTGCCTCGCGGGCAGATGTACTCCGACTTCGAAGGAAGACGTTAAGCCTATTTCTAGGATGACTGTGGGTCGAGACGTTGCCTGATTTGTGTGGTGTCCTCTATGTCTCCTTCTCAACAGGTGTTGCCCCCGGAGTACCCCTTTGGGCCAGCCCCTTGTGGAACGGTTAGCCCTCAAGGAAAGGCAGTGGCAGATCATGGGCATTCCCCGCCATCCAAGGAGGCTTCCATGTATGCAGAGCCGGCACATGGCGCTCTGGTTCTGGGCTCACCCAAGGAATCGTCACGTCCTGCACATGCCTGCTTAACCTCACAACCGTATAAGGCCTCCCGCTCAACAAGGGCTGCACCCTACTGAGATCAGCGGGGAGCAGCCCGCGGGTTCTGGACTTTTGTGACCACACGAATAGGTACATTCTTTTTCTTCGCACGTTGGATATCTTTGACGAGCCGTTAATACGACAGAATTTAACATCCTGCGTCAGGCATATCGTTATCTGTTTGGTCCCAACACTCGGGCGAGTGAGGTCTTTGGGTGTGGACATTTGGACTTTTTCCATTCAATACGATTTGTGATGGTCGGATTTTGAGCTTACTCGTGTGCCGTAGGATCTAGTTTTGTCGGACATTTAGGCTTAGCCAGCTAATGGGCTGTTGCTTTTGTGGTGTACCTCAGCGCGGTGACGACGACACTGAGGGTTAACAGAGGATGTACATGGGTAGAATCTTGCTGCGAGACGATACCCCCAGGAGATGTTACTCATCTGTGCTGCGGGTAAATCTCTAGGTCAAGGGTTGAGTCTCAGCAGAACAATGTTCTCTTCACTCCTCAATCTTTTAACCAAGGGTTGTAATTTTAGTTGTACATTTGGCAAGCACTTTACTCATGTTCCTAATGAGTTTTGATAACCTTTTTCACCCATGCGTTTGGGGGCGGGCTGATGAGAGCCACAAGGACACATCACCTCTGGGGGCCGCCAAACTACGAGATCCCCTGACAGCTCTGTTAATGCTCTTTTGAGACATTATCCGTGGCGCACGACAAGGACGTGCTGCAGGGGTCTTGCGTGAGGTTCCGTAAAACCAGAACAGTGAAGGACTGGCGCCCGAGTGACGTACGGAGTATCTCCTTATACACATCATGTTGGACTTAACTTTCCCTCACACCTGTGACCTAAATCACCGCGCCACACTTTGTTTCTATGAAATGTGATCAATTTTTCTGTATATCCATATTTATACAGCCGCAATTAGATTTTCTAATTGCTAGTTTATGTTTCTGTACCGTACCTGACGACTGAGTATGCATAAAATTTGACACTTTTCATTTGGAATGTATTTTTTATCATTCCAAATGTTAATAATTTTTTGCCACAGTCTTTTGCAGTTGTTATTTATTCTCATAATTTCTATTTCACTTCTGTGACTGTCAGATTGTTATGTGTAAGATAGAAGAAGCTGTTCACTTGATCCGGTCTCTCTGCAACAGTAAATTCACTTTTTCAGCATCAAGCAAACTCGTCATACATCTGCTGGATTCTGACTTACATTATACATCTGTTAAAACCTCATGCTACACCCAGTTGTTACAATGACACACGCTGCTCCAGTTGTTTCTTTAAAGCTTCCTCACTGACAATGTTATTTTTTAAACTCAATCTGGTGCAAAAATCTATGAAAGTAACAACTTTATCGGATAATTGACCCACAGAGAATGTTTAGAAAGGTGGAGACAGGTATGCTCCGTGCAGAGTGGCAAGCATCACTTCAGAGGTCCCAGGTGGTCAGCATGATTTTGATATTTTTTACATGTCATGCCTGTTTGTTGGGAAATGAACAGGCAGATAGACTGGCTAGTTCTGCACCACCTGGTGGTAAACCAATGCATGACAAGCTAGATGTCGCAAGGGTCCTTTGGGAGTGAGTACAAATAGATCATCAAGGTCTGAAAAGAATGGAGCAGCGAGTAGTGGCTCGGGGATCTGGCCGACACTCAGAGGAGGGGAGGGGTGAGTTGGTTTCAATAAGACTATTACTGGTGCCATCAGAACTAGAATTCTGCCCCTGCTACTGAAGATAGGGACACAGCACTCATAGGAGAGTCTAGAGTCTTATAATGTTGGTTCTCAACTCTCATAACATAACTTTCTGGGAGGAAATGAGTTAAATAATATCTGAGCCGTACCTAAAGAATTAACATTTTAAAAAAGATAAAAGTAGAGCTACAGCTGATATTGCCAAAGGAATGTGAAGTCTTTGGCCTTCATATGCTGGGCCATGACATATGAGGTGGAGGGCTCAGTTCCTTTCCTCGCTGGCTTTCCTTTCCCAGTCAATCGCCGTCTAGAAATTGTTTCCTACTCATGTTTATGACCCCAGGGGCCTACAAACTGGGGGGGGGGGGGGGGGGGGGGTTGAATGACTAACACAGAGACAACATGAAACAAAAGCAGTGTTCACCTGTGCCCGGACCGTCTGGTAGTGAATCCTCAAACAATGCAAGCAGATGGTATGTAAACAAGGCAGGGCTTTGGGCTTCACTAATGGTTGGTGGCATTTGACACAGCGTCGCCACTTATCGAATTCCTCACTGCGGTCGATCTGCTGCATATTGTGCTTGATATTCTTGTGCTGGTGTGTTGTGCGATCTAACGGTGACAGCTGTCTATTTGGACCGTGTCGTAAATCATTCGAGGTTTTCATTGATGACCATTTGAATCAATTTGTCCACAGTCGACTTTCTCAGCCATGATTTGATAGTAGTAATAGTACGATACGGATACATGACGTTTTAAGTTTAAGCTAGAGTCGAATGCACGTAAAACAACATGGTATATACCATGTACCTTGTAAATTTAACACATTATATTTTTTATTATATTACTGCGCAGTAAATGCTCGAGAACTCAAGCTGTGAGCTATAACTATAACTCCAGTTGACGTGTTGTTTTTCTGGGAACAGCTTCCTCCATTACATACTGTTGTTTCACTATCAATGGCTGGTCATGTGACTGTCACGTGATTTGTCTTCCTTGCTCTTTTCGAGCCGGCGTCTGTGATTGACCTTGACCTACTCATGACCCGCTGGACCTATTTCTACTTCTTTCAATGAATGCCAATCAATGAACACAATCCAAAATCAAATGAGATCGAGACCAGAAAACGTCACCACAAATATAGCTGAAAGGAAAGTGAGCAGAAATGTGAGCGGACCTAGCTGAAAGTGGTCAACGAAAGAGAATTTGAATGCCAATCAATACATTGTCTCTTTATTAATTATTTATGTTCCCCGTGTGGGTTCCCGGGCCCTATTATATATAGGGAAAACAAGAATAGACCCACTGCCTACCCAAAAGCATGTCGTAAGAGTCGACTAATTGGGAGCTTCCTTTGAAGTCGGAGTACATCTGCCTGAGAGGCAAGGAACCAGCAGTCTGTATACAAATAAATCAGATCTGTAAAACAGATGCACACGCAACACTCAGGTTCTGAGTGGATGAACAACCATAACTTTTTGCCAGAGTTTACAGCGGGTGAACGCAAAGAAGAAAGAAGAAGAATTATATATGACTATGACCTACTGGAGATAGCTTTGGATCGACCAAGGCCTTCTCTAGGGCTAGAGATGGTATGCCATGGATCGACCCAGTTGTTAGGACAGTGGTTTTCATCCTTTTTTTTTTTTTTTGTGCTGCCAGACATCACCCTGTAGAAATAAGGTCACACCATGTCACCGTCCTACGAAACTATTCGGGAAGTCAACAAATGCTCAGAGAAGTCGGATGTTCACCCCAAAAAGTGTAAATATCGCAGATTTACGTCACTCCAACGGACGAAAGGAAGAATTACCTCATTCAAACCCTCTTCAGTTTTATCGGCGGTCTGAAACCGTTTCTGAACAGTCGTTTCTGTTGGCTGCTCTTCTACGATTGCTGGCATATCCCCTCTTTTTACTACCGTCTTCTCCGCACACAACAGAGGTACATAATCTCTCAGAGACTTCAAATTTGTCAAGTTCAACCTGTTATCTCTAAATGGCGTGTGCGCCTCACTATGGAAACAAGTGGAGGTGACAGGTTTGATTCCCAGCACAGTAATTATAGCTTTCAATTTTTATGTTGTTTAATGTGTCATTTTATCTTTCTACTTCTTTCTATTCTTTCTATTGTTTATTATATATAATAAGAAGAACTCCACAGGGAAGCATGCACAGCAGGAGTCTACTCTTTGGGTGCGAAGAAACCTGTATTGCACACCATTAAGAGCTGTTCATCCAGCCTGCTGTCCACTCCCTTGGTCCAAGTCCAAGTCCTTTTGAGAAAAAAAAAAGAAAAGCTCGACCACGTTCAGACTGCTGCTAGCTAGCCTAGGCTGCTAACAGTCTCCGCCTATATTTGTGGTCTGGGTTATTTGCGTCACTTTCGTGACTGAATACTGGTGTTTGTGCCATTTCTGGCTTAATGCTTCCATCCGAATCAAACCGCTCGTCCTGTTGTCACTAGTGCATGTCTTCCTTCTCCATTCTTGGTGTTTCCTGTTTGTTCTGTCTCCCTTTGATCTGGCTTGGCGTATCTCGAAGGAGAGCGAGCTTCCAAACACAACGACCTTTCGGCCACCATTTATTGTTTTAAAATTTTGAGTATTTTGATTTTGCCAAAAAGTACTGAAAACAGTTTTTGAATGTGAATAGTTCCGAAATGTGAAAATTTTCCGCGTGTGACCATAGTGGTCTTATAGTTGTCTTCCTGTAATATAAACGGGTTAGTCATGTAATGGATATGTGTGTGAGAGTTTGTGTGCAGTCTTAAGCGGGTCCAGTCGTCATTTGTTATTATGTGATCGGGTTGTGTTGATAGCTAAGCTCCGGTGTACGTAAATACCATATAACCGGACCGTCCAGCTCACGCTTTGAGATCCAAATGATCGGCGATAAGAATTGTTGTGGCATGTTGGGCAACGAACTCAAGTGCTCTCTGTGGGAATGGGTTGGGGGGTTAAACTCATAGTTCATCCGAAAGAGTTAGGGAAAGGTGGGGGGAAGGGGAGCGGGAGGCCATTCAGTCAATTCTCGTCGTTGCCGTCTTGCTGGATTCTAGCGTGGCTTTTTGCCGGGACTATGTGTATCACGTTACCAACCTTTGCTATCATCCCAGTGATGGGGTGGTATTAGAGGTTATGCGTTCTAGTACTGTCATTATCGAGTCACTTGTATTCCATATTTGCTGTCAGTCATATTTTTGTTATGAGTCCTGTCGGTCATGTGCATGTTGTATGCATGCTGTGGAGTGGAATGGTTTTGTTTATGAATCCCCGGAGTATATGGACGCACCCAACTAGGTGTATGCGTACATGCACTCGAGTACTCATACATGCAGACAACACTACATATTTGTACGTCCTTTCATACTTATCCGTGTATGCATACCTAATTGACATTACGTACACACGCAAACTCTTTCATATGCGTTTGCCAATGCCTGTACTTACATTCATTAAAAAAAACGAGTACATCCACACGTAGTGATATTCACTCTTCCATGTCTTATGTGTTTTGTGTCGCTTTGTCTGTAATTTCGTCTGGTCGTGTCACTTTTATGTTATGTCCCGTTACTGGTATGTGACCTGTCCGGTACTGACGTATCATGTTTTGGTGGATGGTGTGCGTTGATGACGTTCTTGCTGCTTACACCCTTCATTCCATTTGTTCTCATTAATGAACAGACATACAGCAACACAGTTTATGGTTTCTTTGATTGCACTGTCATTCATACCCTCACAAATATATAAGTATACACGCTCTCATATATATACACACATGCACATTCATACACACATATACATGCATACAGTAATACATTTAAATCCATGTACTCATTCATCTGTACCTTTCGCACAACTATATTCCCACTGTTCCGTCCACACATGATTCCGTACCATTCACCTACATACACTGTGTCTTATGTATCCATCCTATACACAAATGCACTCATACTACACGCACTCATCCTTGTGTATGTGTCCATGTTCACATCTATGCACTCATCATACTTACACTATCTCTCTGACTCTAGGATGTCCGGGGTTACCATCTCATCAGTTCCTTCTGTTATACTGAGTAAATCCCTAATCTGGTCTTTTTAGTTTTGATTTGTTTTAATAAGGTATTGTTTAACCAGTTTTTGGATGTCTTTATTGCTATCTACATTTAAACATTTGTTTGCAGTAATTTGTTGTTTGCGTTTTAGAAAAAACTCCTCAATGGGTTTCCTTTCCAATTTATATTTAGTGCAGTTTATTATATAATGCTCTAGAGTATTATCTTGAAAGCAGTCCAGACATAGTGGAGATGTAAATTTCTCTGGGTGCCACCCTAATCTAGCTCTCCATAGTAGTTTGTTGGCTGGAATTTTCAGTTTGTCCCGTACCTGTGTGTTAAGGCTGGGCTCTTTAAGGTTATTGTAGGCATCTCTGCCATTATTGCTCCCTTGCCATTGCAGTTTCCACATTTTAATTATATGTCGTTTGATTATGCTGGTCCTTTCTGTTTTTTCCGAGTCCTACATCTACTAAAACATCACATTTTGCTCCCCTTTTTGGCTGCTATGTCAGCTTTTTCATTGCCTATTACACCTCTGTGTGCTGGTACCCATGCAATGGTGACTTGGCATCCTTTATTCTTGAGCTGAGTTGTTAGATTTAGGATTGTCTCTTTAATATCTGGTCTACTGTTAGTTTTATGTGTTTTTAACGTCTGCACCGAGGACAATGAATCTGTCAGTATGGTAAATTTAGTTGGAGGTTTATTAATTACCATCTCTAGTGCCTTCATTATGCCGACTAGTTCTGCTGTGCATACTGCCACATGATCTGTTATTTTATATTCTCTTTGTATATTCCACTGTGGGATTATTACTCCTGCTCCTACTTCTCCTGCTTCATTCTTAGATCCGTCTGTGTATGCAACCAGATTGTCTGATCGGATCTGGTCTATGTATTCTTCTGTCATTGCTTTGGCTTCAAATGTTTCAGTATTCTTATTAATAATTTTCATCAGACTCATGTCTGTCCTGGGCAGCTCTAGTCTCCATGGAGGGATTTGAGGGACAAACCTAACGCTTGCCTCTAGAGTCCTAGCTAAGTCCTCATCATCGTTAATTTCTAGTGCAGCGTCCCAGGCTGCTGGTCTCTGTATGTCTCTGACCGGTCTGTCATCTAGGTGGGTAATGTTATGATGAAAAGCGTCTGAAGCTGGGTGTCTCCCTTGGTTACGACAGTCAGTTTTCATTGGTGTTTTGGGTGACACCAGATTTCCAGATTGACAGTGTACTTACGAGACTGTGAATGGGTTGAGCATGGTTGGTTCCCAGACTGTGAATGGGTTGAGCATGGTTGGTTCCCAGACTGTGAATGGGTTGAGCATGGTTGGTTCCCAGACTGTGAATGGGTTGAGCATGGTTGGTTCCCAGACTGTGAATGGGTTGACCATGGTTGGTTCCCAGACTGTGAATCGGTTGAGCATGGTTGGTTCCCAGACTGTGAATGGGTTGAGCATGGTTGGTTCCCAGACTGTGAATGGGTTGAGCATGGTTGGTTCCCAGACTGTGAATGGGTTGAGCATGGTTGGTTCCCAGACTGTGAATGGGTTGAGCATGGTTGGTTCCCAGACTGTGAATTGGTTGAGCACGGTTGGTTTCCAGACTGTGAATGGGTTGAGCATGGTTGGTTTCCAGACTGTGAATGGGTTGACTCTGGATGAACTTGTTGAATAAACTCAACAGCAATAAACTGTAGCAAGCACAACAAGAGTCTTCTGACCGTCAGAAAAACGCAAAATATTTTTAGCATCAAAACTGCTCCCAGCCGACTGCAACAATTTAATTAACTTCATCCTGAATTAAAATGTGTGAACAAGCAACTAAAACAGAGTGGGTTTCATCTGTTTAATTAATGAAACACAAACAGTTCAGATTATAGCTAAGAATAGAGTGGATGCATACAACAAACTGGCTGCAAAGAGAACTGTTAATTATAACAGGTGTTGGTTTAACAAAAATGTATAGCTAGACTTCTAACTAAATGCTGTGAGCTCTGGTTTATAACATCTGTTTTTTCAGCCAAACACTTCTTTTTCTTTCTATGCCCAAACAAACAAATATGCACTCTTGTGTGAATATACCCACTAGTAATCACAAAATCTGATATCAAACACTAACACACATGTGGCATCTGTCTGTCCAGGGGCTGGTGTCCTGTGTACTTTCACTCATTTCCACCAGATAATCCTTCATGCCAGCAAGCCAAACTGTCAAGCAATTTCTCTCATGTTCACCATCTGCTTCTTTTTCCCCTCCAACTTTTTTGTTATCATAATTTACTCCAGTTTTTCTCTTATCATGTGACAAAGAATGTAGACTGGCCTTCTGATGTGGGTAATCAGTTCTTTTGGTAATTTCATTTCTTTCAAAACATCATTTCTCATTATCTGTCCAGGGTGTTCTCAACATTTATGTATAACATCATATCTCTGCAGTTTGCACAGAATACTTCATTAATCAGCTAACTGTCCCTGTTGTGTTTTTTTCTGTACATCTTCTCATTTTTTCTTCTTTGCATTCACTAGCTGAAAACTTGGGTCGAAAGTTCTTGCTGTTTGTCCACTTTAGTTTTGTTCCAGAACTTAAGTTCTGCATGCACATTACAGATCTGGCTTATTTGTATGCAGACTGCTGGTTTGTTGCATCTGAGGCAGATGCAAGTTACCTTTGAAGTAAACACCCTCGATGAAACTTTAAAGTCATAGTTGTTAGAGAAGCGGTAGGTTCTCTCCAACCCCCCCCCCCCCCCCCCCCCCACCCCTCCCAACAGGGTAAGCTTAGTACATCAAGAATGGCTCTATATATCTTTTAAGATCTCTCTTTCTCAGCCCAGCACATATTAATACAAGTATTACATCATAAAATGTATGCACCATGAGTATATGTCACTGAATACTGGCATCTCACTCATCTCATTTTAATCTAAGACCTCCAATCTGGCTTCGTATATGAGCTTGGCCATTGTTCAAATACTGATATAAATCAAAACATATGTACATTTATTAGGTTACAGAATGATGACATCGTACAATATATACTATACATACAAACGTTTGTTACAAACTGTTCTATCTAATATCAAATACTCAGATGCACACAAGCATCATCAGTACCCACAACTGACTTGTAGCACTACACCAGTCAGAAACAAGCATCATCAGTACCCACAACTGACTTGTAGCACTACACCAGTCAGAAACAAGCATCATCAGTACCCACAACTGACTTGTAGCACTACACCAGTCAGAAACAAGCATCATCAGTACCCACAACTGACTTGTAGCACTACACCAGAGAGAAACATGCACTCTGATTAAAATGATTTCTTCATCCTCAGTATTTGCCTTTGAAAGAGGTGTTGTGCTAGGCTGTGATATCTGTGCCTTTTGGCCATACTCATCTGATTTAGGCAAAAACTTTATTAACCCCCTTTTACAACATGCTTGTTAAAGAACAGTGGATCTAACACCTGCCACAAATTATGGCAACAGAAACCACACATGACTCAGAATGGATGAAACAAATTTGGAAACCACACATGACTCAGAATGGATGAAACAAATTTGGAAACCACACATGACTCAGAATGGATGAAACAAATTTGGAAACCACACATGACTCAGAATGGATGAAACAAATTTGGAAACCACACATGACTCAGAATAGATTAAACAAATTTGGAAACCACACATGACTCAGAATAGATTAAACAAATTTGGAAACCACACATGACTCAGAATGGATTAAACAAATTTGGAAACCCACCTGCAGCAATGTAGCCAGTCCTTACACCTTTTTAAAAAAAAATGTGAACCATCTTCAACCTAGGGATTGGCCACAGTGGATGTGTGCATCCGTTTCTGACTTTGGGAATATCTCCACACTAGAGTTTGGCCACAGTAGATGTGTGCATCCATTCATGTCATTGGGAACATTATGTGATGAGATCAAAACTGCTTCCACATTTCCACTCTTGTACCACTGTCTGAAAGCAATGTCTTTTTTTTTTCTCTCAAACACATGCTGCAAAAATTTAGTCCCCCCCCCCCCCCCCCCCCCCCCCCCTTTCCTGAAAGTCCTGCTGCAAAAATTGAGTTCTGATACTTCAAGGATTAGGAATTGCATTAACTAACATCCAAGCAACAGAGCCACATTAACGGCTGAATAGGATCTGTGCCAAAAGCTAGCTAGACCAAACAGTGGCAGAAAGTAGATACCACACAGGCCTGACAGCTACAAATTGTGCCAAGAGCTGGCTAGTACCATTAGTCATTTTTTTTTTATAACAATACACAGATGAACATATACAACATACACACATCACTGTATTCTATAAGCCACTTCATGTCACACAACAAAGAAATGTTTTTTCTATCAGCCACTTTAACAGAACTGACAAAGAAATGTATTCCACATACTGTTTGCTCGAATAAAGGAAATCTTGGTAATAAATAGCAATATTCTCTAAACATCAATCATACAAAGCCTTGTCCCTGTGGACAACAAAGAATACTTAATAAAATATCATTTATATTATTTGAACCAAATCATTTTAAAAGTAAATAATTTATACTTTTTTTTTCAACAATTTATCTTAAAAAATATAGACACTTTTAAAAACAGATATTGCACAAAATGTGATGACCAGTAAAACAAGTAATAAAACTGAGATTACAACTGTTTACTACCTGTGAGTTATCGAATTCCTATTACAGGAATTTCAAACAAAACTGACCTGAGGTTTCAGGTCATCCGAGCCAAAAATTGGTACCAGAAGATGTTCTTGGAAATAAAGTCACCAAGTACAATCTAATAACCCACGAAGTATCAACTGTTCTGTGACAATATTTTGTGTATTCTTCAGCACACCCTCGTCTGTCATGCATGGATGGATATTCTGACCAGTGGTGCACTTCATTCTTTAAACAGCCGGTCATTTTATAAACTATAAATTCTCAGTTATAGTCTGTTTACAAATTCATGTCGTTGTTATTTCAATAATTTCTCTGCAACTGCATTTCCTGGAAATGTGATTTTTTGCATGGGCTCCTACTTTCATCTTAGCGTTAATGTTTCATGCATAAATAATATTTAAACTACCCAGCTGTACTGGAACAGACATTATCTTTGTTATTTTTATCACTTGTGTAATTTTAGTTAGGTAACAAAACAAATTTTACAAAACTGATGTGAATGACCCCAACCATAACCACATAAGTTACATTTTTACAACTTGTCATGAACATGGAAACAATCCAGTACAATAATTTTACAGCGTGTAGCCACACTTTTAGAGCAAACCATTGTGGTCTTATTTATAATTTAGTTAAAACTGAAGAAACACATGTTTTTGTGAAAGGTTGACTGGTTACCATTTTAACTTTGTGCTGTATAACTCTTAAAAGGCAAACCAGCAAGGATCACTGTACATTTATATAGCTTGAAAAAGCGAAAATACAGTCTAATTACTTGTTATCCTGGGGAAAAAAATCTGGCATAATATTGAGAGTGAAGTAAACATCAATATAAAATTTCATACATTTAAATTCCACTACAGCGGCACCAATTTTTAAACTGACAATAACACCTACAGTATTATGTCACAGTTAATATCTACAGTATTATGTCACAGTTAACATCTACAGTATTATGTCACAGTTAACATCTACAGTATTATGTCACAGTTAACATCTACAGTATTATGTCACAGTTAGCATCTACTGTATTATGTCACAGTTAACATCTACTGTATGATGTCACAGGTAACATCTACTTTGTTATGTCACAGGTAACATCTACTGTATTATGTCACAGGTAACATCTACTGTATTATGTCACAGTTAACATCTACTGTATTACGTTACAGGTAACATCTACTGTGTTACGTTACAGGTAACATCTACTGTGTTATGTCACAGGTAACATCTACTGTTTTATGTCACAGTTAACATATACTGTGTTATGTCACAGTTAACATATACTGTATTATGTCACAGTTAATATCTACTGTATTATGTCACAGGTAACATCTACTGTATTATGTCACAGGTAACATCTACTGTATTATGTCACAGTTAATATCTACTGTATTATGTCACAGGTAACATCTACTGTATTATGTCACAGTTAACATATACTGTATTATGTCACAGGTAACATCTACTGTATTATGTCACAGGTAACATCTACTGTGTTATGTCACAGTTAACATATACTGTATCATGTCACAGGTAACATCTACTTATTATGTCACAGATAACATCTACTGTGTTATGTCACAGGTAACATCTACTGTATGATGTCACAGTTAACATCTACTGTGTTATGTCACAGGTAACATCTACTGTATTATGTCACAGTTAACATATACTGTATTATGTCACAGTTAATATATACTGTATTATGTCACAGGTAACATCTACTGTGTTATGTCTCAGTTAACATCTAATGTATTATGTCTCAGTTAACATCTACTGTATTATATGACAGCTAACATACATAGTATTATGTCACAGTTAACATCTACTGTATTATGTGACAGCTAACATACTGATTTATAGTATTATGTCAGTTCCCTTTTCACGCCTACAGTTAACATCTACTGTATTATGTGACAGCTAACATACATAGTATTATGTCACAGTTAACATCTACTGTATTATGTGACAGCTAACATACATAGTATTATGTCACAGTTAACATCTACTGTATTATGTGACAGCTAACATACATAGTATTATGTCACAGTTAACATCTACTGTATTATGTGACAGCTAACATACATAGTATTATGTCACAGTTAACATCTACTGTATTATGTGACAGCTAACATACATAGTATTATGTCACAGTTAACATCTACTGTATTATTACTGCTAACAAAACCTATACTATTATGTCACAGTTACCAATCTACTGTATTATGTGACAGCTAACATACTGATAGTATTACCTGCTCACAGTTAACATCTACTGTATTATGTGACACTAACATACATAGTATTATGTCCTGCTAACATTTACTGTATTATGTGACACCAAACTTGATACATACCTGCTACAACAGTGCACACCACAGTTGATACATTACCTGTATTACAGTGCACACAACTGATACTATTACATACAACAGTGCACACCAAATGTTACTACAACAGTTACCACATCTACTGTATTATTGACTATTACCTGCTACAACAGTGCACACCAAACTGTATTATGTTACAGCTTAACATGATACTATTACCTGCTACAACAGTGCACACCAAACTTGTAACTATTACCTGCACAACACTCATCATCAAACCATACTAACATTACCTGCTACAACAGTGGGTTCTCATCTACTATTACCTGCTACAACAGTGCACACCAAACCTTTTACTATTACCTGCTACACCATGCACACCAAACATCTACAACAGTGCACACCAAACATTGATGCTACTATTACCTGCTACAACTGCACACCAAAACTAATATGAATACCTGCTACAACAGTGCACACCACACCTGATACTATTACATGCTGTCAGTGTGCACACCAAACCTGACATACTATTACCTGCTACAACAGTGCACACCAAACCTGATACTATTACCTGCTACAACAGTGCACACCAAACCTGATACTATTACCTGCTACAACAGTGCACACCAAACCTGATACTATTACCTGCTACAACAGTGCACACCAAACCTGACTACTATTACCTGCTACAACAGTGCACACCAAACCTGTTACTATTACCTGCTACAACAGTGCACACCTAAACCTGATACCTGCTACAACAGTGCACACCAAACCTGATACTATTACCTGCAACAACAGTGCACACCAAACCTGATACTATTACCTGCTACAACAGTGCACACCAAACCTGTTACTATTACCTGCTACAACAGTGCACACCAAACCTGATACTATCACCTGCAACAACAGTGCACACCAAACCTGATACTAGTGCTACATTAAACTACACTCCACCTCAGCAGTGGAAAACAAAATCAATATGCACTGATAAATGTCTGGCAGGAACTGGCCACATAATTATAAACACAGGGATAAAAATGATAATGTTGTGTGTGCAAGCTATTTTGTTAGAGCAATGCCAGTATTTCCTGTCTGGGGCTGCCAAACGTTCAAGACACCCTACAAAATAATGGATGTTTCCATAAAGCTATGGAGTGTTGCATCCACTGGTACTGTAGGGCCTACTGAAGGTCATCACTGTGGTGATCATTCTGCCCTAAGATAGCCAGCAGTTTTTGCAATACTCCCTTACCGTGTGGGAAAGTAATTACTGCACCTCCCCAAACACAAGACAATCCCATGTACAAGACGCATCTCGATTTTGAGACTGGAAATTTTGAGAAAACAAATAATAATAATATAATTACATAAAGTTATTGAACCTACATTTTATGTACCACGAAATAAAGAAAACTCCTCATTAATGTCAAAACTTTCATTCATATGACCGTTCTTTAGCTTAATTCTTTCAAGTATCCTAATTAACAAGTGCGAAACAATGAGCCCAATAAACTATTACAGTGGGAAAGAACTTTTAATTTAATACATTTTGTTTCATTTTATTTCGCCCCTGAAACTGCATTTCTAAATGAGGCTCTGTATGGAACATTTTCTAATAAATAATTTGGGAAAAATCGAGTACAACTGTTTAATGCCAATACTGTTTTCCTGACGCAGCATCTTTGAAAAATAAGTCCACCTTATACTTGAGGAAATATGGTTTTTTACTCAGTGGTCTTAAACTTTTGGCCACCACTGTAGGGAAATATGCCAGGCAATAAATTTTGCATCATATTCTTTGTGACCTCATATTTTAAATAAATATTACTGTATATCTTATGTACAAACTTTTCTCTTATATTTATACCAATATGTCTATGTGTCTCATGTTTCTGGTAACACAGCTGTAAGTCTAAATTGCGTTTCATGTCACAATATTGCTGTATGTCTAATGTATGAACTGTATTCTTATTTGAATGTTACAACATTGCTGTTTGTCTAATGTATGAATTGTTTTCTCATGTTCACGTAACAACATTTTTTGTTTATCTAATGTGTAAAATGTTTCATCATTTTAATGTTACAACATTGCTGTATGTTTAAAGTATGAATTGTTTTCTTATTTTCATGTGACAAAACTTTTGTAATAACAACATTGCTGTATGTCTAATGTATGAATTGTTTTCTCATTTTAAAATTACAACATTGCAATCTGTCCAATATATGAATTGTTTTCTCATGTTCATGTTACAGTTTTGCTGTATAACTAATATCATTGTATTTACTCCAGCGTTGTGCTCAGACACACTTATGTTTGAACATTGCCGTATGTCCCACTCGGAGCTCGGTACAGTTTGGGAATGTACAACATCTGCAGGCTGATGAAAGCATATTTTTTCACTCCGGTGTTCTTCAAAGTATTGTCTCTTCTACAGCCAACACTGGAGAATCGCAGAAATCAGAGACATCAATAATTTTGAAATTACAAAACAAACTGGTAACAAGGATTTTTATAGTGAGCAGCACAGTAAATAATCTTTATAAAGAGATATGACATGTGAACAACATTCTTCCTCCTCCCACTCTCACATAACCATATCTATGGCAACGTCATCTCTGCATCTGCCAGTACAACCCCGTACTCGAATGCCCTCCTCAGTCAATCCTGCAGCGTTTAACAGCAGACAACACCAGGTCTGTGTTAGTTTCTTATTCTTCTTCAGCTTCCTGCATAAGGCTCTTTTCTTGCTACAACAGGTTGCTCTTGCACTCTGCTCATGGTTGCTGATTCACATTCATCATTTAGTTCTCGCAAATGTCTCACCTCTCTTAAGGCATTCAGAATATCAGCCCGGTCCACGGCACTTCCTTGCATGCCTGCGTGCCGTTGCATGAACATAAAACTGATATTTGTCAGCCCTGACAGCTTCAGAGACTGGCCAATGTTTTCGAACCCAGCCCATCTTTATCTTCCAGACCATTCTCATTGAGTCACTGAGAAAGCATGTGCAGGTAAAGGTCAGTTTCAAATATGGTCCCCTCCCTATCTGCAGTTTCTCCTTAATGTATGAATGGGAATGAATTACTTTATTAATGTTAACAAACCACAAAGTGAACAGGCTGTTGTCACAGACTAATTCAAAAACTACAGAAACAAACCAAGAATGAAAAATTATAGCATGTGTTGATCTGATACGATATATACACATTAAGATGGGGGGTCTCTGTGGAGAAGTGGTAAAGCAGTTTGCCTGCTGCTCTAAAAGTTGTGGGTTTGTCTTAAGTGCTACACTGTTTGGTCCAAGAGATGAGATTGCTGCTGGAGCTAAGGAATTTGTGCTTTGTGTGACACTGTCGGCAGGCAACTAGCCATTCTACAGACAGAAGGCTCAGCCATATCAGATAAAACCCAGCATAATAAAGCTGATCCTCTGGACCATAAATACACTGGGAGCCTTGCTGATGCCTCGGTGTTCGTGCACTGTTCTGGAAGCTCCTTGTGCTATTAATAGAAGGAGATTGCAGCTCCAGAATATCCAAGTGGGAAACAAAGGTCATCCTATAAAACCCAATCCAATCATCCAATCATAAAAGCTTGAATGAAACATGTGATTCATTGGTTTCAATGTAATTATGTATACACAAGATGTGATTGGTTGTGTAGTTGGTTTTTACTATGGTGACAAACTAAAGAATTTATGATTGGCTGGTTGGTTTTGCAATGGTGACATACATGCTAAAAAAGATATGACTGGATGCTTTCACTGTGGTGATATGCCACATAAGTTATGATTAACTGATTTCACAGTAGTGACATAAAGACAGAATATGGCTGGTTGGTCCATTGTGGTGTCACAGCATGCTAGAAAACAACAGATGTCAAACAAGAACAATACAGATGACTATCACCTTTGCCAGATAACAACTATTCAGGCAGGTTAAAACAACAAATCTACATACCTTCGTAAACAGTCCAAAGATTGTATGAAGACATGTGAGGCCAAGTTATGATGTCGTTGGAGTATATGTACCATCTCTAATGTAACAGCCATGGCAGTTCTGTCTTTCCCACTCTTACAGAAAGTTGCACGTAATCCCCTCAATGCCCTAGTCACCTGGCGAACAGAGAACAGTCTAATTGTGTGACTCAAACATAAGTATACTATCTCCAGCATACCATCTCCAAACAGCAGATATATCATACCATGTCTAACATACCATCTCCTAACACCATCTCTAATATACCATCTCCAAACAGCAGATATAGCATACCATGTCTAACATACCATCTCCTAACACCATGTCTAATATACAATCTCCAAACAGCAGATATAGCACACCATGTCTAACATACCATCTCCTAACACCATGTCTAATATACAATCTCCAAACAGCAGATATAGCACACCATGTCTAACATACCATTTCCTAACACCATGTTTAATATACCATCTCCAAACAGCAGCATAGCATACCATGTCTAACATAACATACTAGCACAGCACATAAGGACAGTTTAGGTTCAAGAAACAATGTCCCACTAGCAAACAATAACAGTTTTGTCCAAGAAACAATGTCACACTAACACATAAGAACACGGTTTATGTCCAAGAAACAATGTCACAGTGTCATACAAGAACACAGTTTATGTCCAAGAAACAATGTCACACTGTCATACAAGAACACAGTTTATGTCCAAGAAACAATGTCACACTGTCACACAAGAACACAGATTATGTCCAAGAAACAATGTCACACTGTCACACAAGAACACAGATTATGTCCAAGAAACAATGTCACACTGTCACACAAGAACACAGTTTATGTACAAGAAACAATGTCACACTGTCACACAAGAACACAGATTATGTCCAAGAAACAATGTCACACTGTCACACAAGAACACAGATTATGTCCAAGAAACAATGTCACACAAGAACACAGTTTATGTACAAGAAACAATGTCACACAAGAACACAGTTTATGTACAAGAAACAATGTCACACAAGAACACAGATTATGTCCAAAAAACAATGTCACACAAGAACACAGATTATGTCCAAAAAACAATGTCATACAAGAAAACAGATTATGTCCAAGAAACAATGTCATACAAGAACACAATTTATGTACAAGAAACAATGTCACACAAGAACACAGTTTATGTACAAGAAACAATGTCACACAAGAACAGTTTATGTCCAAAAAACAATGTCACACAAGAACACAGTTTATGTACAAGAAACAATGTCACACAAGAACACAGATTATGTCCAAAAAACAGTGTCACGCAAGAACACAGATTATGTCCAAGAAACAATGTCACACAAGAACACAGATTATGTCCAAAAAACAGTGTCACGCAAGAACACAGATTATGTCCAAGAAACAATGTCACACAAGAACACAGATTATGTCCAAGAAACAATGTCACACAAGAACACAGTTTATGTACAAGAAACAATGTCACACAAGAACACAGATTATGTCCAAGAAACAATGTCACACAAGAACACAGATTATGTCCAAGAAACAATGTCACACAAGAACACAGATTATGTCCAAGAAACAATGTCACACAAGAACACAGATTATGTCCAAGAAACAATGTCACACAAGAACACAGTTTATGTCCAAGAAACAATGTCACACAAGAACACAGATTATGTCCAAAAAACAGTGTCACGCAAGAACACAGATTATGTCCAAGAAACAATGTCACACAAGAACACAGATTATGTCCAAGAAACAATGTCACACAAGAACACAGTTTATGTACAAGAAACAATGTCACACAAGAACACAGATTATGTCCAAGAAACAATGTCACACAAGAACACAGATTATGTCCAAGAAACAATGTCACACAAGAACACAGATTATGTCCAAGAAACAATGTCACACAAGAACGCAGATTATGTCCAAGAAACAATGTCACACAAGAACACAGATTATGTCCAAGAAACAATGTCACACAAGAACACAGATTATGTCCAAGAAACAATGTCACACAAGAACACAGTTTATGTACAAGAAACAGTCTCACACTAGCACACAAGGACACCATTTTGTCCAAGAAACAATCTCCCACTAACACACAAGGTCAAAGTTTTTGTAAACTACAGAAACAAGAACTGAATGGAATACTTACAGCAGACGCAACATGCAGGACTTCTACATTTTTGCTCTTCTTGGTCATCACATTATTCTGCAGCATTTTGACCATGTGATGCAAGGAGCCCAGGCCCAGAGACTTGTCCACTGTAGAATAAAGTGGTGGAAACAAATCACTATCTGAACATGCTCAGGACAACACCTTGTGTGACCAGCATCAAAATTATCATTGCTATAGGAAAGACACAAAATCCCAGCATCAAAATTATCATTGCTATAGGAAAGACATAAAATACCAGTTTCAAAATTATCATTGCTATGGGAAAGACACAAAATACCAGCATCAAAATTATCATTGCTAAAGGAAAGACATATAATACAAGCATTAAAATTATAATTGCTACAGGAAAGACATAAAATACCAGTTTCAAAATTATCATTGCTATGGGAAAGACACAAAATACCAGCATCAAAATTATCATTGCTAAAGGAAAGACATATAATACAAGCATTAAAATTATAATTGCTACAGGAAAGACATAAAATACCAGTTTCAAAATTATCATTGCTATGGGAAAGACACAAAATACCAGCATCAAAATTATCATTGCTATAGGAAAGTCATAAAACACCAGCATCAAAATTATAATTGCTATAGGAAAGACACAAAATACCAGCATCAAAATTAATATTGCTATAGGAAAGATAAAATACCAGCATCAAAATTATCATTGCTATAGGAAAGACACAAAGTACCAGTATCAAAATTATAATTGCTATAGGAAAGACACAAAATACCAGCATCAAAATTATAATTGCTATAGGAAAGACACAAAATACCAGCATCAAAATTTTAATTGCTATAGGAAAGACACAAAATACCAGTATCAAAATTATAATTGCTATAGGAAAGACATAAAATACCAGCATCAAAATTATAATTGCTATAGGAAAGACACAAAATACCAGCATCAAAATCATAATTGCTATAGGAAAGACATAAAATACCAACATCAAAATTATAATTGCTATAGGAAAGACACAAAATACCAGCATCAAAATTAATATTGCTATAGGAAAGATAAAATACCAGCATCAAAATTATCATTGCTATAGGAAAGACACAAAGTACCAGTATCAAAATTATAATTGCTATAGGAAAGACACAAAATACCAGCATCAAAATTATAATTGCTATAGGAAAGACACAAAATACCAGCATCAAAATTTTAATTGCTATAGGAAAGACACAAAATACCAGTATCAAAATTATAATTGCTATAGGAAAGACATAAAATACCAGCATCAAAATTATAATTGCTATAGGAAAGACACAAAATACCAGCATCAAAATCATAATTGCTATAGGAAAGACATAAAATACCAACATCAAAATTATAATTGCTACAGGAAAGACACAAAATCCCAGCATCAAAATTATAATTGCTATAGGAAAGACACAAAATACCAGCATCAAAATTATAATTGCTACAGGAAAGACACAAAATCCCAGCATCAAAATTATAATTGCTACAGGAAAGACACAAAATACCAGTATCAAAATTATAATTGCTATAGGAAAGACACAAAACCCCAGCATCAAAATTATCATTGCTATAGGAAAGACACAAAATACCAGCATCAAAATTATAATTGCTACAGGAAAGACACAAAATCCCAGCATCAAAATTATAATTGCTATAGGAAGGACACAAAATCCCAGCATCAAAATTATAATTGCTACAGGAAAGACACAAAATCCCAGCATCAAAAAGTATAAATACTTTGTTTTCAAAATGGGACTGGAGCCTTTTTCAAACATTCAGGCATAGTGGGCACATAAGGCCTGACCTATATTTTATAGACCAATTGGCACTTGGCAGGTCATGAGGTCAATATTTTCTTTACTTCAGAGGACTTTACCTGGTAACCTATTTAAGACTGGGTTAAAAGTCTGACTCCATTCGGATTTGAACCCACAACTTTAAAATATATGTGCAGGCAAAACTCAGGTTGTGGAACAAACAAGACGGCTATCCTCCGAATAACGGGTGGGAAAGATGGCCGCCGCAAAATATCCTTTCGAGCCACAGTCGCGTGTCAATTGCACACTTCCGGCGACTTAATTTGCGGTTTTCTGGCGACTATCGCCACCGCCACGTGTCTCCCGGACATGTGGGGTGGATTGGGGCTAAACTAGATGGCTAGGACTCACGAGCATAGCTGCAGGAGATGAGGAAGCTACTGCTCGTGTGTCCTAGCCATCTAGTTTAGCCCTAACCCACGCCCCTCACGCGGTGGCGGTGAGGGAGCAAATTAAGTCGCCGGAAGTGCGCAATTGACGCGTGACTGAGGCTCGAAAGGATATTTTGGGGCCGCCATCTTTACCGCCCATTATTCAGAGGACAGCCAACAAGACCAAAGTCCACAATTGGAGGAACAACTAGAACTATATATTGGAGCAGCTAGTGAACACGAAGAAGAAAGGAAGGAGGAGGAGAAGAAGAAAAAGAAGAAGAAGAAGAAGCAGCAGAGTAGAAGAAGAAGAAGAAGAAGAAGAAGAAGAAGAAAGAAGAAGAAGAATTATCTGTCTTTCAAAGACAGCCAATACTGTGAGATGTTCAGATAGATTCCAGGAAGGAAAAGTGGCATCAAAACAAGGCAAAACTCACATGGATCATCATAGTATTTGCTGTACTGAATGTAGTACTCGTATAATTTGGCAAATGACTCCATATTTAGTCTTTCTTGTAAAGCTGTGCTTCCAAATCTGAACAAGAAAATGTTGAGTTTAACAACAAAAATCTGTCCGGGAAACAAAAAGAAGTTTAAAAACAAAAAACAAAGCCTGCATGGGAAACAGACCATGAATATATTTATACAGGAAAATATTTTACGAGCACAAGCTATTGTTGTGTATCCTTTACAGAACATTGCAGAACCAGCCCTAGCATTTTTTTACAGTTGTGGTTTTTCTAAGCAGTAGTTTGCCATTGCTTTCTAAACGGCTCAAAGCAATGCAAGGCAAAAAATCGCCTACAGAAGAGATGGAACCCGGCACCTCAGCATTATGAAGCAGATTTGCAATAAGCCACAGATGCCAATGAGCATAAGAAATGCGCTAAATAAAGCATTAACAACATGAAACAGAAAACACAAAAACTTAACTTATCCTCACTCAGCATTTTTTTTTTGAGAATCTCGCTCTTTTCACGGCACACTTGAAAGTCTCTTTTTTTTTCTGTTAACTCTCCAGTCCTAGGTATTTCAAAACCAATGCATCTTCAATGTCATGTATCCACTTTCACAAAGGTTTTTCTCTGCCTCATTTTGCAGAAACTCTACCCTCCACCATCTCCACTACCCTCTACCCTCTAGGCCACCTGACTTTTAACATGAGTAAAATATATCAGCTTTCGGGACAGGATGCTGTTTATGAGCCAATTCTCCTCGATGGTCATAGATCATGTAGGATGTCTGTGTTTTTCTGTTCTTCTTGGACCATGGTATTAGAGAATTTTTCTGTGGCATGTCAGTTCAAAAGCTCTGATTTTTTCTTCAGCGAATGAGTTGAAGTCCATGACTCGCACCTCTAAGTTACCATGGGGAAGATGCATGGTCTCAAAATTTTTACTTTAACCCGCTTACAGGTGCTTTACCAGTCAGTTTTCCTGCATTCTTCTTTTGTCTTCTATGACCCACGGAACACAGTTATAACCAACTCAAATTAAGCTCTTTGTAGGTGTGGGCATGATTTTTGAGATATTGTAGCTACAGGACGAGCTCTCATGTTGGCCTGCCTTAGTCACTTCATGCAACAAGCACAAAAAGTTTCAGTGTTACCATTCTTGGATTCCCTGACAGATCCGACCATGTCGGTGTTGCCATTCTTGAATTTCCTGACAGATCCGACCATCTCAGTGTTGCCAGTCTTGGATTCCCTGACAGATCTGACCATGTCAGTGTTGCCATTCTTGAATTCCCTGACAGATCTGACCATGTCAGTGTTGCCATTCTTGGATTCCCTGAAAGATTCCAGTGTTGCCATTCTTGAATTCCTTGACAGATCTGACCATGTCAGTGTTGTCATTCTTGAATTCCCTGACAGATCCGACATGTCAGTGTTCTGACCTTGAATTCCTGATAGATCTGACCATGTCAGTGTTGCCATTCTTGAATTCCCTGACAGATCTGATGATCATGTTCAGTGATTTGACAGATCCGACCATGTCAGTGTTGCCATTCTTGGATTCCCTGACAGATCTGATCATCTCAGTGTTGCCATTCTTGGATTCCCTGACAGATCCGACCATGTCAGTGTTGCCATTCTTGAATTTCCTGACAGATCTGACCATGTCAGTGTTGCCATTCTTGGATTCCCTGACAGATCTGACCATGTCAGTGTTGCCATTCTTGGATTCCCTGACAGATCCGACCATGTCGGTGTTGCCATTCTTGGATTCCCTGACAGATCTGACAACAAAGTGAGCCAACATTTGATGTTGAGAAACTGATTTAACAACTAAAATAAAACTTCTGCAAAAACAAGTGACAGAAACTGAACATGTCCATTCAATTATTCATGTGTCATCTCCACAATGCAATTTGAATGCAATTGTTCTTCAATAAACTCTTATCTCTCCTCCTAGCTGTACATTCCCTGACATTGCTGTTCATTCATCTATTGATGCTATCCTCCCACTTCTTTACTTTCTGTATCTTGCTCATTTTTTTGCCTTGTAACTTTCCCCTCCAGTGTTATGGCCTTCAATGTGACTGAAATAAATATTTCAGTTCTCTCTTCAGTTTTTATTTCTTTCAGCAACTCTTCATCAGAACCTCTGTGCCTGATGTCATTATTAACTTCCTATGTCCCAAGCAACAGATCACATGTCACTTGAGTTCATGTATGTGTACCTCATGATGTATGATATATGTTTTGACATCTGATGTTTAGTGAGGACCTGAAAGAACAAGCTACTGGTTTCATACAAGGGCTGTGTATTTAATCCCTGTGACATAAGAACACCTATGAGCTTGCATGTCTTCATTACTGCCTGTCTCAGATATCCCCTTGTGAGAACTGAAGAGTCAAAACAGGCCATTTCACAATGAATTATTATTATTTTCATTTTAATCAAAGCTGCTAAGGGGCAACAAATCCGTTTTATTTTAGGATTACTCTTACTTTTCTGCAAGAGTAGCCTGTTCATTGATGCCAATATTGAAAGCCATGGCTGTGACTTTAATTTGTTTCCCTTGCTGGAGATCTCTTGGTAGACGGGAGAAAACATCCTTCTCTATTGGCATGTCAATAATAATGTTGTGTCTGTGGATACAGAGATTAGAATTATTTTATGCTGGTTTTTTTTTTTTTCAACGTATCCAGAAACCATGAGTTGTAAACCCTTTGGCTCGGTACTATGGATATCGCAACCCTTCGGCATTGATTCCATTATAGGTACCGTTAATCTGGGAGAAATGTGGCTTTTCTGCCTACCCCTGGGAGTGAACCCGGACCACAAGGAGTTCGTCACCCGGCCGCCGCGAAAGTCAGGTTTAACCAACTTCGCTAGAGAGCCGGGCAAATTTTTTTTAATTTTTTTTTTTATGCTGGTAAGTGTATTACAATCTTTGGATCCATCAAAGATGAAAAAGCAGAGAACGGATAGTTAGATGCAACAACGAAATTAATAATCTGTTTAAATCACCACTAATTATGGCATCAAGGGGGCTACTAGACTACCATGAAGGGAGCACACAGAAAGAATGGCAGATAACCAAGAGACACAAACTGCATATACAAAATAGTTGAACTGGAGTAGGCCATGAGACAGACCAAGACACAATATTTGGAGCCATCTACAGGAAATAGGTTTGAGGTTTGAGGTTTGAACAACGGATCAACCTCATGGCACACGGGTAGTAACCCATAAGTGCTCCATTCTTCTTCTAACTCAAGTCTGAGTCCCAAGAAGCTCAGCACAGTGCACAGGCTCTGCAGCACTGGCGAGGATCCTGAAATACTTTGGATAGATTTTTAACTACAAATTTTGCCCGAGCAGCGCTGTTAGGCTACTCTTTTCGATTTCCAACTGCCAATGGATTTTTTTATGTGCGCAACAATGCACACGGACGTCCGATCTGAATACCCAGAGACCAGAGGGAATTACTAGAAGTCCAAGTCCACGTGAAAAAATCCTAGCCCTTACCGGGGATTGAACCCGGAACCTCTAGCACTCGAGGCGGACACCATGCAAACAAATTATAGAGAAAAATGGAGGCAGGTGATATCTGCAGCATGGAACATCAAGAATGCAGAAGAAGAGGAAGAAAAAGATAAAGCACTACAAAGGGAGCCTCAGCACTTCTGTCCTGGTGGTCACATGCTTGTTCCCCTTTGAGATTAGGGTTTCTAACACTAACTCATTCTCCCAGGGCTAAAATGAGTACCAAGAAATGTAGGGAGTTAAAAAGCAGACAATGAGATATGAAACCCAAAGCCAATCAACCGCCAACTCGTCCTAGGTCATCATCATTATGATGTGCCTCTTTTTTTCCAAGCAACACACAAGCATGCATACTCCCCCCCTCCCCCCTCCCCCTATCCCCCCCCCCCCCCCCCCCCCCCCCCTCCCCCCCCCCCCCCCCCTATCTATGACAACATTCATTAAACAAGACAAATATAAGAATAAATCCACACCACCTGCTTATATCTGGATACGCTCCTTCTCTCACAAAACTGAAAAAGACAGCAGAAAATATAAACTGAAACAAATCTATGATTACAAACATTCAACATTATCAATCAGATAGAACAACAATACCATATACAATGATATAGCTGAGTAAAGTGAACCTTGTATTCTTAAGATTCCAATATATATGTTAAATCAGCAATTTCCCCATACGAAAAAAGCCTAATTTTGCAGAATGTATTACTTATGTCTTTAAGAAATCATTAGTAATACAATGGTACCTTGAATAAAAAAATTAATTCATTCCTGACTGTGGTTCCTATCTCAAAAAGTATGTATCTGGAAACCAAATTTCCCATTACATCTTACAGGAAATCAATCAATCTCTTCTTAGAAGAACTGTCTGGTTACCCAAGATCTGCCTAAACTTCTCCACATGAAGCTGAGTTTGTGTTTCTTAACTTTTTTGTTTGAAAATTCTAGGATTTTCTGAGTGACAAGGCAAAAGAGGCAGTATCTTCAAATGGCAGGGTCATTTCCTCCTTACTGATGAACATTCTCGTAGGCATTTTCTCCAGAAAAGCCCAGTTTCTTTGCAGCTGAAAACTTACTCTGGTCGGTAACCCTCTGACTCCACAAGTTTCTGAAATTCCCTCACAAACTTTCCAGTTTTTTGTGTGTTTTTTTGGTCAGCATTAGCACTTTCTTCACGTCTAAAAACACTATGGACACTGGTTCTATTCTTGAATTTCTCAATCCACTTGTTGTTAACGTTACATTCTTCACAAATGCCTTTGCTACTGGTAGTGGATGTCAAATTCTGCTTTAGATTTCTGTAAACAGCTTAATTAAGCTTTTAAACAGTTTATATTCTTAGAAACACTATGTGCTTTCAGCTGAATTTCATTAATCGAGACGAGTAGTCAAGTCTCCATTTCTTCCATAACTTCATTTCTTCAAGACGAAACAACAGATTCTTCTTTGGGCGGTTGGAGTTGCTTATAAAAATTTGCTTTCTGGAGAGTTATGGTGGATTTGGACAAGTTATATAAGTAAGTAAAAAAAGTAAAGTAAAGGACCCTTTTCCACGCCTTTAGGCGTATAGGGCATATAGGGCTAGACCTATATTTTTATAGACCAATCAGCACAAGATGGGTGATGTGGTCAGCATCACGCCGGCTGCCTCTACTTCCCAGGAACAAGTTATATAGCTTGCACAAATCGGTTTACCTGACCCCGTTCTCATATTTTTCCACCAGCTGTTTCTTAATTGCTACTGTGAGTTCTTCTTCTCTTCTTTCCTGGTTTTCATTCGACCCAGGATAGTCATAACATGCAATATTTAAATGACAGTTAAAACTGTTTGTCCGCAATGCCTCCTGCAAGTGTTTAAACTAACTGTATTGTTTAATTTACACAAATATTATTTATTATAGGTACACACACACTCAAAAAAGGAAATATTCACAGGCGGCATGTGTTACACACATCACTTATTGCAACTTATTCTAGATAAATGTGGCACAGTAACACAAACATGCACACCAGCGCAGTGCATCATGGTTTGTATCTCGAACCTGGGTTTTTAGAGGTCAAAATATGATATGAAGAAAGATAAATGTGGCATAGTAACACAAACATGCACACCAGCGCAGTGCATCATGGTTTGTATCTCAAACCTGGGTTTGTAGAGGTCAAAATATGATATGAAGAAAGATAAATGTGGCATAGTAACACAAACATGCACACCAGAGCAGTGCATCATGGTTTGTATCTCGAACCTGGGTTTTTAGAGGTCAAAATATGATATGAAGAAAGATAAATGTGGCATAGTAACACAAACATGCACACCAGCGCAGTGCATCATGGTTTGTATCTCAAACCTGGGTTTGTAGATGTCAAAATATGATATGAAGAAAGATAAATGTGGCATAGTAACACAAACATGCACACCAGCGCAGTGCATCATGGTTTGTATCTCGAACCTGGGTTTTTAGAGGTTAAAATATGATATGAAAAAAATTTGTATCTTGAAAAGCTTGTGTGTTGAGGTACCACAGTACAAAGAAGACTTTAAATAAAGACCAGTCAAAGTCTGTAAACACAGAATTATGGGATGCTGTCTACTTCCAGTAGAAAATAAAACATACTTTGTGCATGATTTTCTTTGTGAATTTCACAACAAATGAAACAGTCTAAATTACTGTCAGTACTAGCCATTGGAAACCTTAATTTAATCTGTTCACTTCTATCAAAAGAGATCGCCGACTGAGATGATGAATAAAAGTGATAAGATCACGTTAAATTAGAAGAGACTGCAGAAGAATGAGATGATGTGAAATTACAAGAGATCACATTGGCTGGAAGATAAACAAAAGTGATAAGATGATGTGAAATTATACATGATAGATCATATTTGAATAAGACGATAAATAGAAGTGTTAAGACTGTGTGAAATTAGAAGAGATCACAGATGACAGATCATAATTAAAAGTGGTTAGATGACTGAAATTAGAACGGATCATAGGTGACCGAGATGGTGAATAAAAGTGGTAAGATGTGAAGTTATAAAGAATCAAATATGGCCGATGTGGTGAATATAACTAGATGTGATTAGATTATGGCAGCAGGAAAGACAAGCCATACGGTACCTCCCCAAAGTGACTAGATTATGACAGAAGGAAAGACGTACCATACTGTACCTCCCCAAAGTGACTAGATTATGGCAGCAAGAAAGATGAACCATACTGTACCTCCCCAAAGTGACTAGATTATATCAGCAAGAAAGACAAGCCATACTTTACCTCCCCAAAGTGACTAGATTATGGCAGCAGGAAAGATGAACCATACTGTACCTCCCCAAAGTGACAAGATTATGGCAGCAAGAAAGACAAACCACACTGGACCTCCCCAAAGTGACAAGATTATGGCAGCAGGAAAGATGAACCATACTGTACCTCCCCAAAGTGACAAGATTATAGCAGTAGGAAAGATGAACCATACTGTACCTCCCCAATGCGACTAGATTATTGCAGCAGGAAAGACGAACCATAGTGTACCTCCCCAAAGTGATTAGATTATGGCAGCAGGAAAGATGAACCATACTGTACCTCCCCAAAGTGATTAGATTATGGCAGTAGGAAAGATGAACCATACTGTACCTCCCCAGTGATCAGATTATGGCAGTAGGAAAAAGGAACCATACTGTACCTCCCCAAAGTGACTAGATTATAGCAGCAGGAAAGATAAACCATACTGTACCTCCCCAAAGTGACTAGATTATAGCAGCAGGAAAGACAAACCATAGTGTACCTCCCCAAAGTGATTAGATTATGGCAGCAGGAAAGATGAACCATACTGTACCTCTCCAAAGTGATTAGATTATGGCAGCAGGAAAGATGAACCATACTGTACCTTCCCAAAGTGATTAGATTATGGCAGCAGGAAAGATGAACCATACTGTACCTCCCCAAAGTGATTAGATTATGGCAGTAGGAAAGATGAACCATACTGTACCTCCCCAGTGATCAGATTATGGCAGTAGGAAAAAGGAACCATACTGTACCTCCCCAAAGTGACTAGATTATAGCAGCAGGAAAGATAAACCATACTGTACCTCCCCAAAGTGACTAGATTATGGCAGTAGGAAAGATAAACCATACTGTACCTCCCCAAAGTGATCAGATTATGGCAGTAGGAAAAAGGAACTATACTGTACCTCCCCAAAGTGATCAGATTATGGCAGCAGGAAAGACAAACCATACTGTACCTCCCCAAAGTGACTAGATTATGGCAGCAGGAAAGACAAACCATAGTGTACCTCCCCAAAGTGACTAGATTATGGCAGCAGGAAAGACAAACCATACTGTACCTCCCCAAAGTGACTAGATTATGGCAGCAGGAAAGACAAACCATACTGTACCTCCCCAAAGTGACTAGATTATAGCAGCAGGAAAGACAAACCATAGTGTACCTCCCCAAAGTGACTAGATTATGGCAGCAGGAAAGACGAACCATACTGTACCTCCCCAAAGAAGCTTTTGGTGTGAAATCCTTCTCATTAGCAGGCACCAGCCTGAAGCTGACATAATTGAGGTCCTCCACACTAATGATAGTGTCCTCTAGCATGCAAAGTTCACTCCCATAGCAACTGAGAAGGCCCTCGAGCTGGAATAAGATCCCAACGGAGCACAGCTGGTCAGTGAACTGTGGGCTGGCCATCTGATCTGTCTGGGTAAGGGCTGCAAACGCACTGACTAGAGTTGTAATCTGTTGATCAAAATGTTATAATCTGTTGATTAAAATACACTGTAATGTTAAGACCCGAGTTGTAATCTGCTGATCAAAATGCACTTTAATGTTAATCTTTCACTACAGGGCATGCTGGGGCCAATAATTATTGAAACAAAAAGAGACAAGTAATAAATTGCAAACATTCACCAACTGGCACTATGAGCAGCCATGGGACTCACAACCCATGGAATTAGCGAGTGTGACTAGAAAGATCCACCCGCGTTAAGAAAAGTAGCACTCAGAATACTCCTATAAGCACTCTGTACCCATCTTCAGCAGCAAATGAAGAGTTCCAATTCTAATGGCACCAGTAACTGTTTGATTGTATATCCGTCTCGCCTTTCCCTTAAGCGCCGAGTGTCGGCCAGATTTCCTGTTAACTCTGCACAGCGCCATTCCCCTCAACCGTAATGATCTCTTTGTGCTTTTGCACTGTTCACTTGCTCCCAAAGGGCCCTCACAACATCAATTTTGTCATATACTAATTCATCAAATCTTATCTTTGCAACTAGCTCAAAAACCACAATTCACTGTCAGAAGATTACTATCAACGTGCCAAAATATTTATGCACTAGATTTTTTAATTTGTTATATTGGCTGTTAAACTGGGACTTACTGCATGTGCATTTACAATATCTCTTCTGATTTTGAGATCATTCACTGCTCGTACTTGATCTTTGTTCTCCTGGAGATACACAAATTTAACAATTTAGTAAATCAAGCAAAACTTGAAAAATGAATGTGTGAAAAAACTAAATGCCTGGACTAATAACAGAAAATGTACACCATCAGCATACACTTTAACAGATTTCATTAATGAATTTTTTTTAAATGCCCGAGCCTGAAAATAAGCCTTCGTTTGATTCTGCAGGATGCTCGCAATATAAGCCCTACCACAGATATAGGCCCTAGTTAAGATTACCAGCCAGACGGGAGGATTTTGCTTGCCCGTTGAAACAAACAATGGACATTTTGAGTTTAAAATTATTGTGTATATAAATAAATATAAATATTATTTTACCACCATCAATGCTTAAAATAACTGCGACTCCCCACTACGCTGTGAGGCAATTGTGGACAAGACAAGACAAGACAATGCTTAAAATAAATGATAATATAAATGTAGATTTGTGTACATGTAGAAAATAACAGACCTGAAAATAAGCTCTGCAGCATCTTTTGAGACAAAAATGTATATAAGGCCCAGTCTTATTTTAGGAAAAATACTGCAGTAGTAATATCTAATGAGGGGCATCTGCAGCCCAGCTGATACCAAGAAATAACTAAACACAACCCAAACGATGACAAGCAAATGCAACGAGGGAAAGTTAAAGTCATGGGCAGTGTTGGGAAAGTGATGATCCACTATCCCATATGATCAGCAGAATCAGAGATTAGATCAGTATACTTGTCCCACCTCCATCTGTGCAACCACTCCATCAAGGTATTTATCCCTTCACCTTGCCCTTGCTCTTTTTCCATCAATCTTGCCAGCTGTCACAAAAGTTTTTGAGTCTGTTCCTTCTCATAACATGTACACAAATTACCGACTGTCTACTTCTGTTTATTACTGTTTAAGAACTAAGGGATGAATAGAGGATGAAACAGAATTAGCGGATGAAACAGAACTAGGGGATGAAACAGAACTAAATGATGAAACAGGAGTAGGGGATGAAACAGAACTAAATGATGAAACAGAAATAAGGGATAAAACAGAACTAAATGATGAAACAGAACTAGGGGATGAAACAGCACTAACTGATGAAACATAAATAAGGGATAAAACAGAACTAAAAGGATGAAACAGAACTAGGGAATGAAACATCACTAGAGGATGAAAAAGTATTAGGTGATGAAATAGAACTCAAGGAAGGGGAGAGAGAGAGGCACACACATACAGAGAGAGAGAGAGAAAGAGAGAAGAAAAGAAAGAAAGAAAGAAAGAAAAAAGAAAGAAGAAGAAAGAAAGAAAAGAAAGAGAAGAAAGATCAACAGAAAGACAGAAAGAAGACAGACAGACAGACAGACAGACAGAAGACAGAAGACAGGACAGACAGACAGAGAAGACAAGAGGACAGAAAGAAAGACAGACAGACAGACAGACAGAACAGAAAGACAGAAGACAGAACAGACAGAAGAAAGACAGACAGAACAAGACAGACAAGACAGACAGAAAGACAGACAGACAGACAGACAGACAGACAGACAGACAGACAGGCAGAACAGACAGACAGAAGACAGAAAGACAGAAAGACAGAAAGACACAGAAAGACAGAAAGAAAGAAAGAAAGAAAAGAAAGAAAGAAAGAAAGATAAGAAGAAAGAAAGAAAGAAAGAAAGAAAGAAAGAAAGAAAGAAAGAAAGAAAGAAAGAAAGAAAGAAAGAAAGAAAGAAAGAAAGAAAGAAAGAAAGAAAGAAAGAAAGAAAGAAAGAAAGAAAGAAAGAAAGAAAGAAAGAAAGAAAGAAAGAAAGAAAGAGAAAGAGAAAGAAAGAGAAGATTGGCCATCAGTTAAACATGATTTAAGGGGAAAAAAACTGTATGCCACCAACTCATGCTGCAAACATACAATGTCATCAAATGTGGAGAACACCCACCAGTACAGCCAAGAATGTCAGAAACAGTGACAGTCGTGAATAAACTATATCCAGGAATCCTTGCATCTTGGTCATAGCTGGCTTGATGTCCTGCAGCATGGGACGGGGTCCAGTCTCCTCGGCTGGAACATCAATGTCTACTAAGAGATCCATCCTGTCTTGGGATTTCTGTCTCGTCAGGTCTTCGACAACAGACACCAGACAGACAAATGCGGCCTCCATGTTGAGTCTTGTCACTTCCTAATAGAAATAATTATCCATCTATATATATAAAGTGATTTTGTATTTTCTCTCATATATGTATGTATATACACACACACAATCACCCACGCACGCACGCACGCACGCACGCATACATATATTTTTTTTCTGGGCATTCACGACTGTGAACTCTAGTAGAAAGTAATGATTTTTCATCCATTTTTGTTCTCTGATCTTGGTTTTGCATACACACCTGTTTTACAGAACTAGCTTATTTGTATGCAGACTATTGGTTCTTCTCTTTCAAGCAGATGTACTTTGACTTTGAAGGACACTCCCATAATTATTCCCCTTTTAAAACATGCTAGTTTTGGAGGCAGTGGGTCTATCATTTTTCCCCCCATAATTGAGCCCTGAAACCCACATAGGGAAAATAAATATTAGGTGCCAGAACCTGAAGGCTGAAGCCCTTTGAGCCCCCCCCCCCCCTCCCCGCCAATGTTTTCTTTGTGCAGGCGCACCTGATACATATAGACACCATTCCCCAAATGAGTACAGGCACACGTATATTCTTTTACCATTGTCTATGTTTATGAGCTAGAACCAAAGAATATTTAAATCATGTAGAAGGTCAGTATTTTCCCTCTTTCTGATCCATGACACTCTAAGAATATTCCTAAAATACTCAAGTCCAAAAGCTGTAATTTTTCCCCCTTGTGATTGTTAAAATTGTCCCCAGTCAAATAAATAAGTTCCTTTCCTCTGAAACAACCCAGAATATCAACAACAATTACCCAAGGTTCCATGGGGGAAGACTGGGTGAAGCCACTGATACTTGCTGACTTCCTGTCTAGTTCTTCCGTACTGGATTCCTCATGCTCTGAATGTTTTTCAGCGACGAGGAGTCACAACCTTCGCCAGTGTTGGCATTTCTCTTGGCTGACAGATATGACTCTGCAGCGGACTCGACCAGTGGTTCAGCACACATACTGTTTAACCTGGCCACCTGCAGAAGACAAATGTGTTTACAAAGCAAATAAGTCAAGACCAACAAGAACAAGCAACCCTATTGACCGATGTTTGAACAATGAATCAACATCATGCACAAGGGTAGTAACCCATAAGTGCTTCGTTCTACTTCTAACTCAAACCTGAGTCCGAAGAATCTCGGCCTCAGTACCCTGATGCAGTATAAGTTAGTTGCATAGCCCTTACAGGGGGTTTCAGGACCTAATTAGTCACCGTTTCATTAAAATATCAGTGCAGTTCATAGGTTGGCCATCTTCAATGATGGCAGAGTCAACCAATTTATCAGGTCTTTCACTGTCATTAACACCTGCATACACAGGACAAAGATTAAGGTAACACTGAGCAACTGACCTCCACAATGACTCAATTCCTTGCCTGTGTAGGGAAACCTGTCTCAAACTGTCAGATCCTGCTAATGGACGAATGCATAAAACTGCCATTATCAACGAGAAACGAGAGAACAACTTACCTTTTCCTTCATGCTGGCTATTATAGAAACAACAGATTCGGTGTTTTCCAACTCCGCAGCCAGCAACATTTTCTCACACTGTGACCGCAGCTGTGTCCGCAACTCTGTGACTTCATTGAGAATCCTGCATGCCTGCTGCATCTTGGCACGAGGTTGGGATGATTCCTCCGGGGCATAACTGGATCTGACAGTGTGCATTAAACGTTTCAAGCCACCATTCTTCATGTCCCTGCAGTGGGTAGTGAAGGCGCCTACTGTGGTGATGTCGTAGACCTTACCTGGAAAACAACAGATTTTACTAAGGGTGAGAATTTATTTACAAGAGGGTTCATACCTTGTTTACACATGGTATACAGCTAAGGTCAGCTCTGTGGCTAAGTCGATGCGAATGCTTCGTAATGCAGGGGTACCGGGTTCGATCCCAGCTGCGGGCCATGCGCCTTGCGTTGGTTTCGACAGTGGTATCAGGGGGCCGACCGTCCAAAAAGCAATGGCAAACTACTGGACATAAGTTCGCCTAGAGAAACCACACAACAGCCAGGGGCTGTTAGGGTTGGTTCTGCAACATCCTGTAAAGGATATGCAACTAACCGATACAGCTAAGATTACCTAAATGCAAACTGCTTACAGAAATTTCAAGAAGTATAAAAAGTGAAGAAATTCAAGTGTTTGCGAAGCATATCATCATCAACTGGTAAGTCAGAAGATGAGATTGATAACAGATGTAATAAAGCAAGCCAGCTTAGTCAAGTGGACAAATAGCATCAATACTGAGAAACATACAAACGTGTATCAGTTAGTAGAAGAAAGAAAAAGGAAAAAGCTTTCCGTGAAACAATTGTTTTACTAAACTCTGTGCTACCGATGCCAGAAAACAGAAAAGAAAAAACCCAGACAATTACAACTACTGTGATCAGATTCTTGAGAAGAGAACATGACAAAGTAAGGGTGAGGAGGGTCACAAATCAGAAAATCTGAAAAGAAAGAAAATAGGAGGGAAGTAAATTAGATGTTATTTGAAAATAACAAGACAAATGGTTCAGCCATTTAACTGAACTGTCAACAGACAGTATACCATAATGGGCAACGACGTGTAAACCAAGTGGTTATCAAAACACAGTGCAGACAACATAAATGATGGAAGAACAAGAACCTGAGAACCAAGGTATTCAAAGCTCACAAACAGGCACTCTCTGTTTATATTTGACCTAAACACCCCAGCAGGCAAAAGAACAAAACAGGATGGAACAAATGTTGCCCAGCCTATGAATCTGACTGAAACTGTGGGTTTATGATTTGTTCAAACCATGCACACAATTACGAAATTGCGTACAACTGTCTAAGGTCTTGATGCTCATTCATTATCTTTATAGTAACAATACAAACCTGTGTGTGAATAAATATTTTTTTTTGGTGTGTCTGTGTGTATGTTTGTGTACATGCATGCAAAATGCATGCTTGTGTGTGTGTGTGTGTGCGCGCGCGCATGTGTGCATGTGGACATTCATGCTTTTGCCCGTGCATGCTTGTGTGCGCACGCATGTGTTGTGTGTGCGCATACACATGCATGCTTGTGTGTGTGCAAGCTTGTGTGTGTGCAAGCTTGTGTGCGTGCGTGAGATAGACACAGAGAGAGAGAGAGAGACAGAGACAGGGACAGACAGACTGAAAGGTAACAAAAACTACTGTTAGGTTCAGGCTGACTTGACAAATATCTGTCATCAATTTAGTGTGCAGGAACAAGCCAGAGCTTGATAATACCAAAAACACACTTATCCATCATACCAGATTACGCTAACCACTAAAAACTAAAAAATGGTAAAGCATATTTACTTGTATAAACTGTGTGTGTGTAATTAATGTGTATGCTTCCTTACAAATACCTTATATTCTGCCATATTATGAAACAAAGAAAATGTTGCTATATTGGACACATTCTGAGAAGAAACAAGCCAGTCACCAAGAAACAGGCCAGGCACTAAAATGGGAAGTAGAGGGATTGAGGAAGCAAAGACATTTAAGAAAAGAAAAAAAGCTACCCAAAACAAACACGGACGAGAGACACCAAAGGCGCTGGAGTCGACTCCATTCATGACACCGAAAGGATTGCACAGGACAGAACTGAATGGGGGAATAGACTGCTAGCCTTATGTGACACAGAATGACACAACAGGACAATGATGATATTCTGCCAAGTATCATATGCAGTTTGTCTTATTCTTGTGAACAAGTGTGATCTTGTAGTCAAATGTGTGGTTAAATTAAAATGATGCAGTCCCAATTGCAGGTTTTCATAATGTGACCACCGGGAAGGCTAACCCGGTCAACAAATGCCCGTAGAAGTCAGATGTGTTGGCCGAAAGGTGCAAATATCGCAACCATGCTGTAAACGGACACAACGCAATTACATCTTCGGATGAACGCAGAAGAAGAAGAAGATAATGTGACCAGAATCACTTTTCAGTCTACTGTGCCTGTTGCCTAGAGGTACCCACCTGATGGAGCATGGTCGGAGGAGACCACCATTCTCTCCACGTGGAGGTTGGCCGGGACAAACTCCAGCTCCTGCTTGCCCCTGTCTGCACTTCGCTTGAATGTGACACCTATAAGAAGGTCACCTCGTTATTGGGCATAATGGCACACACAGTTTCACAACATGGATAATTAATTTAGAGGTATTCAATGGTACTCATAGAAGCAAAGTAAAAGAGATGAGAAAAGAAAACAAACTAATATTATTTTTTAAAGAAGACAAATTAGACATGGCAGACCATCTTATACGAAACCACACCAAACATCCTTCTTTCACCCAGCAATCTTATTTCATAATAGAGCCTCCTTAGCGCAGTCCATAGAAGACTCGCTTTCAAATCCAGTTGTGACTCGCTGCAGCCCAAGGCCTGTGTTCGAAACCGGGCGGTTCCTGGGGCTCACATAGCCTCTAGGAAATGGATACCAGAGTTACCTCTCTGGGGTAAAAGAGAGGAGCCTCGCTGTAGCTACGGAGTTGCGTGCGGATGGGGACCCAGGCGGACAGTTTCTTATCAGCTGTCCGTACTGGTGGCAGAGCACTTATGGTTTATAACCATGTGCAATGACGCTGGTTCACAACTCCCAACTTTACCTTTACCTTATTTCATCTATAAAACATGGTATGGAAATGTTTATGAGAGAGGCCAAAGCTGTTGGACTGGATCCCACATATGATACTGAACTACCTGCACAGCCTAGAGCAGAAAGCAGGAATAGACTGCGAGCCCTATGTGACATACAATGGCAAAACAGGATAATGAATGAATCTTATCTAAACATAGCAATATACATAACATGAATATTAAGCAACAATAACAAATCTGGTTCCTGGCTAGCCACACAAGAGAACCAGAAACATTCAAAATAAAGGGGAAAAAATGATTTGACATTGTGGCTGACACAGCATGGTGGTATTTCTAACAATATTCTGAAAATCCTTTTTCAAGTAGATGCCTGATAATTTCTTGCTTGTCTACTAGCCGTCACCAAAGTCAACGCAGCCTACAATAGGTACTAGGAAAATGTCCAGGAAAGTAAATGCAGCTAACATGATGCTGACTACATCAACCATCAAGTACTGACAGGTCTATACAAATCTCGGTTTAGCATCACAGATGCCTCAAGTGTGTAAGTGATCCTTTACTTTTTACTTACTTCTTAGATGTCCAGTTCTCACAGCCATAATATTTCCAGTGTGACATAACATTCAAGCATTTCTGTTTCAAACTTAAGACAACGGCTTAGCCCTATCACCTTTATCTTCTACTTCTTCCTTATTATCTTTTTTCTGCATAAACTTCTAGAAACAAACCTGAATATATAATGAAGAAAACAGCTATCAATGTGCAGAGAGTAATGACTAGTTAAGCAGAAGTGAACAAAAACAGATCACCTGTATACTCAATTAAACACAACAGATCACCTGTATTCACAGTTAAATACAGGAGAACAATAAGAGATCACATGTATACACAGTTAAGTACAGTTAAACACAAGAGATCACCTGTATTCACAGTTAAAAGTACAGGAGAACAAGAACTGATCACCTGTATACACAATTAAGTACAGGAGAACAAGAAGAGATCACCTGTATACACAATAAAGTATAGCAGAACAAGAAGAGATCACCTGTATACTCCAGGAGATGGGCTGCATGCTGATTATAAGACACAACCATGCTCATGCAATAATCAGAGGTCTCCTGGACGACATAGGCTTGGTCAAACGGCAGCTGCAAGACAACAGCAAGCTCAGTCACCTGACAACAACATGCTGGCAAGACGACACAGTAAAGTGTCGACTGTTCCTAGTATGTGAGTGAACAAGGCTGGAAGATTATGCCCTCATGCTGCAGGCCAACTGAACCCAGTAGGTTCTCACTAAACTTTCTGTTGCCCTGTAACCGTATATTCTTCTTCTTTTTCTACACTCATCCAAGAGGTAAATGTTTACAGCACGGCTGTGAAATATGTGCACCTTTTGGCCCACAAATCAAACTTCTTCAGGTATTTGCTGCCCAGGTTAACTATCCCAGAACTGTACATTCCATTATCGCTACCTTGGCCATGAGATATCGCTTCAGAGGTCCCGGGTGGTTGGCGTTCTTTGGATATTGTCTCCAGATCATGCTGGTGTGTTGGGAAATGAGGAGACACATAGAACATTTTGGCCATGAGATGTCAGCAAAGTGCAAAGTGCCTCTGCTGTGCTATCAGTGATCTTTCCTTTCCACTGTGACTGCTCATTTTGATCACTTCTGTTTATCTGAGCTGAGCTGAGAAAAAATGACATCACATCACTAGGACATTCCCATAAGCACTCCATCCCCCATCTTCAGCAGTCAGCACCAATTCTGTGGCTCCAGCAGTAGTCTGATGATTGTGTTTCTGTCTTACCTTTCCTTTCAGTGTTGAGTGTCTGTCAGATCCTTCGCTGAGTGTCTGTCAGATCCTCTGTTGAGTGTCTGTCAGATCCTCTGTTGGGTGTCTGTCAGATCCTTCGTTGAGTGTCTGTCAGATCCTTCGTTGAGTGTCTGTCAGATCCTTCATTGAGTGTCTGCCAGATCCTCTGTTGAGTGTCTGCCAGATCCTCTGTTGAGTGTCTGTCAGATCATCTGTTGAGTGTCTGTCAGATCCTTCGTTGAGTGTCTGCCAGATCCTCTGTTGGGTGTCTGTCAGATCCTATGTTGGGTGTCTGTCAGATCCTCTGTTGAGTGTCTGTCAGATCCTCTGTTGAGTGTCTGTCAGATCCTTCGTTGAGTGTCTGTCAGATCCTCTGTTGAGAGTCTGTCAGATCCTCTGTTGAGAGTCTGTCAGATCCTCTGTTGAGAGTCTGTCAGATCCTCTGTTGAGAGTCTGTCAGATCCTCTGTTGAGAGTCTGTCAGATCCTCTGTTTGAGTGTCTGTCAGATCCTCTGTTGAGTGTCTGTCAGATCCTCTGTTGAGTGTCTGTCAGATCCTCTGTTGAGTGTCTGTCAGATCCTCTGTTGAGTGTCTGTCAGATCCTCTGTTGAGTGTCTGCCAGATCCTCTGTTGAGTGTCTGTCAGATCCTCTGTTGACTGTCTGTCAGATTCTCTGTTGACTGTCTGTCAGATCCTCTGTTGAGTGTCTGCCAGATCATATGTTGAGTGTCTGTCAGATCATCTGTTGAGTGTCTGTCAGATCCCCTGTTGAGTGTCTGCCAGATGCTCTTTTGAGTGTCTGTCAGATCCTCTGTTGAGTGTCTGTCAGATCCTCTGTTGAGTGTCTTCCAGATCCTCTGTTCACTCCTTGCTGCATCCTTCTCTTCTGACGACATTGATCTAACTGTGTCTGCACCGATAATCTGAGTAGCATTGTCGAAGATACTACATGTGCAACAAGCCAAGTATTCTTAGCAAACTATTTTTTGCTTTGTTGTTGTTGTATGTACCATGATTTTAAAAAAGTTAATGACCCTTCTCTATGTCTTCAGGTGAATTGGGCATATACGACTAGACCTATACTTTACTGACCAATTGGCCCTGGTTGGGTGATGCAGTGAACATCACACCGGTCACCTGTGATTCCCAGGACTATACCTGGTACCCATTTAAGGCTGAGTTGACCTGGGAGCCAAGGTCATTTTTTTTAAAAATCTGGTTCCGTCAGGACTAGAACCCATGACCTTTTGATCCACAGGTGAGTGTCTAGCCGCTACACCAGGGTGCCCCCCCCCCCTCCCCATAGCTTTGCTGGGAGGGGGCGGGGTCGTCACAATCAACCAGCACTCCTGAAGGTGGAGCTGTGGGTTATAAATGTGACTAGGTTATGTGCGCCATATAAAATGGCTTAGCACTGCATGGCACCAAAAGTCCTGAAAAGGATTCCTGTAGTGTTGATGCATGCGATCAAAGAAGACCCAAATACTGTTGCAGCCCGTGTGACCAAGTAATCTAACAGCAAGCCAATTCATCATTTTTACATATTTTGCTAAATAAAGTGAGGGATCGGTGGCCAAGGCGTGATGAAACTGCACTCATGCAACAGGCACTCAGGCTGTAATCCCTGGTGAGGCAATGACAATTTATGGGAGGTAACAAACATTCAGACCAAGAATTCTCAAGAGTTATATAAATTCTATCATGAAAAATGGAAGTGAATTACGGACAGTTGGATGATCTGTGAAAAATTATGTGGAAGTTACGGAGATGTGGCTTTTCAAACAAATGATGAGCTACCCTGGACAGATAAAGAGTAATTAAAATGTTATGAAAGAAACTGACTCATAAAGCGAACTGCCCACATAAGAAGAAGACAATCTACATTCTTTGGTCATGTCATGGGAAAGAGAAAATTTAAGTACACTGTGATTGGTGGGAAAGTTGGAAGGAAAAAGAGGCAAAGGAAGACTAAGGGAAAAGATACTGGATGGTCTGATATGATGGCACAGAAGACTATCAGTGTCAGAAATGACTGAAGGTACATGAGAAAGAAGGTTGTGGATATAAATTAAAACCAATGCTATACAGCATGGACTATTAAAAAACAAACAAATCCTAAACCTAAACATGGTGTGGACAAGCCATATTTATCTCATTAACTTCTTTAAGTCAGAAAACAGGATCAGAATACAGTCAAATTTATAAATGAGACATAGTTTCCTGAAAGTCAACAATGCAGAAGAAGAGGTTAATGAATTGAGCGGATATATTTAAAACTGTTAGCACTAGTGTATCCCAGAAGAAAAGGTTAATAAACTGGGCAGATGTATTTAGAACTGTTAGCAATGGTGTATCACGGCAGGCAAAAACTGTCAAATACAAAGAGGAACATGGTGCTATACTGCATTCAGCACATGCAGGACACTGAACATGGCAGCAAGGCATGACAAGCGTGAGAGCAGCCACACACACACATGCTTCAACCTGCACTGCTGGCCAGTCCCTCCAAGGCATTATTGTAGCAGACAGCCGTGTCCGCCCCCAATTTTATCCACAACAGTTGTTCTTCCTCCCACTCAGAAAACAGCTGTTGTGATGACATAAGATTTATCTCTAGAAACAATGTCAACTTAAACAAGATATGTGCTCACAGAGAGCAAGAAACAGAAATGGGATATCAGACACTGACAGCAGATAGGGATCAATTGAAAACAAGACTCCTATATATTCTTCTCCACCTGTTTTTCCTCCTGTGTCTTCTTCTCTGGTTAATTTTCTTCCTCTGCTTCTTTATGCCCTGCCTCTTCTTTTCCCTTCTTCTTCTTTTTTTTTCTTCTCCTTCTTATACTTCTTCTTCTTCTTCAGGAGGATGACATCAATAGGACGGCAAACAACAGTCTTGGAAGAAACAGTGTGTGTTGGGAGACACACTGCATGCAACCATCATTGAGAAAACTGTAGCTGAAAGCTGTTGCCCAAGAGAATTCTTAGGTAGACAAAATCTACAAACTTGCAGAAAGTGTTTGGTACCTGAGATGGAACACGTCCTAAGACAAATGTATGTGGCAGTCATTCACCCAGACTTCCTAGTTACAGTGATGTAATGTACATCCTTTGAAAGAGGATTGATGCAGAAACAATATAAAGCAATGTATTTGTACAGTTAAAGTGAGGTGTGATAAACAGCTCTTGAAAGAAGAACGAAGTAACAACAGGCAAATTCAAAGTGAGGTGTGATAAACAGCTCTTGAAAGAAGACTGAAGTAAGAACAGGCAAATTCAAAGTGAGGTGTGACATACTGCCTCTGAAAGAAGACTGGAGTAACGACAGGCAATTCAAAGTAAGGTGTGACACACAGCATTTGAAAGAAGACTGGAGTAACGACAGGCAAATTTAAAGTGAGGTGTGACACACAGCCTCTGAAAGAAGACTGGAGTAACGACAGGCAAATTTAAAGTGAGGTGTGACACACAGCCTTTGAAAGAAGAACAAAGAAGACAATGCAGCTGAAAATACAAAACTGTAGTTATCAAATCAGAGATTATAAAAGGTAAACAAATAAACTATCAAGAGATAGAGCAGGAACAAGATATCAATAAACAAATATATTGTGTGGCCAAATTTCAAAACATGAATGAATAGTCCTTAACAATGAATGTCCTTACCTCTCCTAAGTCTTGTAGTAGGGAAATCATCTGCTTCTCCTCATTAACCCACAGTTGTCTGAATAGAAAAATGAATTCACTGCATTAAATGATGAAAACAATGTCTATATCAGCACATGAGGAAGCAAAAAAGACTAGCTCCTAATTTTTTTAGACTGACACTTAATGGGTGATATTATAATTAAAGTGTAGAGCTAGCTGCCTTACTTTCTATGAGATTTTCTGGCACCTATTCTTAGCTGGGTCATATATCTATTTATATATATATATATATACACACACACACACACACACACACACACGCATGTACACATACACGCACACATACACACACAAGTAAAAGATCTCTTTCCAAAGCCTTTAAGCGTACAAGGTATATAGTGCTAGAGTTATATTTTATAGACTTTTACTTCTCAGAAGTTTCCCTGGCACCCAGGCTGTCAGCATGGGAACCAAGATTTTTTTTTTTTTTTATTTTTATCTGAACCCAAGACTGATGTATGGATCTGAAGCCATGGCAGCCAAAGATCTTTCATCCTGTATACATCACAAACTAATAAATAGTACCAGAGATTAGGTAAAATAAGGACTCACAATAACTGAATGGGTATCTCAAATGTCCACTTGCTTTCTGCCATGTATTCGGATACCTGGATCATAGATTTCTCATCATTTGTAGCAAAGCGGAAGGAGCGTTTGATGATGTCATTGAAGTGAGCCTGGAGATTGTGTTGGTGTCTACCCAGGGAGAAGGTGCGAGGCCGCTTGCTGTAGGTGCCCGACTGAATACACATAATAACACTGTCAATATTAGTAAGCAGCTATGCCAGCCAGAACAGTATCAGCAGAAATATTAGCATAGCTGCTTATTAGATGTACAAATATTCAGCATGTTATTTATTAGATGTACACATAATAATATTTCAAAAGATGCTATGCCATAGTTCATTAGAAATATTAGCATAGCTGCTTATTAGATGTACACTAATATTTCAAAAGATGTTCATTAGTTATTCATTAGATGTACACTAATATTTCAAAAAGATGTTCATTAGTTATTCATTAGATGTACACTAATATTTCAAAAGATGTTCATTAGTTATTCATTAGATGTGCACCAGTTGCTCATTCGATGTACAACAGTCCTCATGCGGATTACGAGATCCCATTTTTGTTGGGAAGAGGGGGGGGGGGGGAGGCTCATTACTCCTGGACATGTGTGTCATAAATGGTGAAAAATTAAGGATTTGCTGAAACTGGATTTGATTGGTCAAAATATGCAGATATTGCAGCCAAGCACACAAATGGTAAGACTAAATATAAAGATGGAGGAGAACAACAACAATAATAACAACAAGATGATGACGATGATAAAGATTATGATGATGAAGAAGGAGAAGGAGGAGAAAAAAGAAGTAATAGTAGTTGTTCAACAGCTATTGATTAGTTCTGTGTGAATAGATTATGTTATGTGATTTTTTCCTGTCGTTTATTGAGCTTCCTACTTTTATCCTGAAAAAATGGAGGTAACTCGAGAGTAGTTAGCAGAACAGTAACACCAAAATTATGTAAAGCTGCATATACATATGGTTTTATAGATAAATGATGAGAACATAACAGAAGTGAAAAGTGAAACACAAATATTTTGAAAGAAATTAACTCATGATAAAAGCCAATTGTCCATGAGAAGGAGACAATAAAGCATTCTCTGGTCACATCGGTGATAACAGTAAAGTTGAATGGGAAGAGAGGCAGAATGAAGGAATAAACAAACAAACTTTATTTTCAAAGGGTCACAAATTGGACATGCATGCCTAATCTTACATTCAGCCCTTCCAAACACCCATCTTTCACATAGCTGTTGTATTTTATCCATAAACCATGTTCATATAATAATATGCATATTATGAATATAAAGAAAAAAAACAAAAAAAGCATGGGTGGTAAAATGCATGTGCACACTCGCTTGTGCACACACACACACATCCAAATACATTTAACAAGAGCATCAAAAGCGGCATCGTCCCTGATGACTGGTTCCACAACTACCTCAGAACCATTCCTAAGCCTAGGAAAAATTATAAAAAAGTAAACGGCTATAGAATCATCACAATTCAGAACACCATAGAAATACTCATGGAAAGAATCGTGGCTAGAAAGTCGATCCAAACATTCAAGTCAAGTGGTCTTCTGGCACCCGCACTAAATTGGTACCGCCCGGGCAGAGATACCTGGTGCAATGCTGCAATATTTGCTTACGACACGTATGAGGGCTTTCAGGCAGGAATAAAAACTGCTGCAGCAGTGATTGACTTAGAAGACGCGTACAACAATGTTCCATACAACATGCTCATCAGACTAGTGATGGATATGCACACAGAGACGAAATGAGTCAACTGGATTGCTACAGGGCTCTTCGAAAGAACAGTGTCGATGAGATGCGGCACCTGGGCAACTAAACCTCAACCCGTTCTAATGGACTTGCCCCAGGAGTCACCATTGTCTCCCGTTCTATTTAATGTGTACATATCATTAGTAGGTCTGGGCAGAACAATGTCGTTCACAGACGACATCCTTGTGTACCGACGAGAAAACGACGGGGATGAAATTACGACGACGTTACAGCATGAATTAGACCGACTCAGTGAGTGGTGTCAGAAATCAAGCGCACTGGTAGACCTGGCAAAGGCTTCCTTAACATGGTTTTCTTGAATACACACATTGTCAGTACACCTACACCAGCCGTGAGCATGTGCGGTATAGATATCGATAGAACGAACACAATGAGATACTTTGGCATAACTATCGACAGATGCTTGTCATACAGGAATCATGTAGGCAATGTCATAGTTAGAGACAGAAAAGGCATGATGGCGCTGAAGGTGATGGCATACGCTGACCTTGAATAACGCCTACTTTTCCTGCTCAATCAGGGACTTGTACTAAGTGTTATAGATTACAGTCTGGGCCTCCTCACGGTCAGCAGAACCCAGCTAGAAAGACTGGACTGGGTAAAAAATGAGGCCATGAGACTCATACTCGGCTGCACACAAGACAACTAATGCCACGCCATGTGATATGTCCTGGATTTGCCAACGATGGCCACCAGACATAAGGTGGTGGCACAGGTGAAAGTGTACATGAGGATATCAGCCGACAGCAACCACCCACTGCACAACGCTATCAATGATATAAAATGGATGCATCTCAAATGTCCGAGGCAGAAAATCTAATCCAGCAAGTACTTGACCTAGACAAGATCAGTCACGAAAAAGAATGGAGGGATACGCCAATAGACCTGCATGACTTGTCTAAGGTTATCATAACAATGGGGATGTACTGCAGGAATCGGAAACCTGCCACCATAGACGCCAAGATTAGGGCCCTGATTGATCAGCACTCACACTCAGAAGAAGTCGACATTTTACACAGATGGGTCTGTGAAGTGGGAGTAAAGATCAGCATGGGCAGACACAGGATGGGGAAAAACAATAAAAGAGGATAGGGGCGCTTACCAATGTCTAAGTCAAGCATGACCATAGAGATAAATGTTGCTTTCAATACATACATTCATTAATACATACATTCATTAATACATACATTCATTAATACATACATTCATTAATACATACATACACACGTCGGCTCTGTGGCTAAGTCGATGCGAACGCTTCGCTTCGTAATGCCGGGATGCCAGGTTCGATCCCAGCTGCGGGCAATGCGCCTTGCGTTGGTTTCGACAGTGGTATCAAGAAAGCCGACCGTCCAGAAAGCAATGGCAAACTACTGGACGTAAATTTGCCTAGAGAAACCACACAACAGCCAGGGGCTGTTAGGGTTGGTTCTGCAACGTCCTCTAGAGGATACGCAACAACCTTCATACATACACACATTCATAAACACACAAACACACACTCTCATACACACACACATTCACACACTCACATATACATACATACAAACAATAGCAAACCAGTGAATGTAAAATTGCCTGGTGAATTAACAAACAGCCGATAAATGCTGGGGTTAGCTCTACAATGTCATGTAAATGATACACATCTAACAATGTGTGCATCCTTTATTTTGTTTCCTTTCAAGTTATATTTTATACATATGCGTGAGACTTTCCCTTCCCTATGTTCAGCTTTCCAGTTATATTTTATAATATGTTAAATTGTTCCCTTATCGATTATCTTTGGGAATACATTGTATATGAGCAACTTTTCCTTCCCTATTATATTTTATGTTATATGTATACAACTCCCTGTTATAGGGAAAACAAGAATAAACCCACTGCTTACCCAAAAGCATGTCGTAAGAGTCAACAAATTTGGAGCTTCCTTTAAAGTTGGAGAGCATCTGCCCAAAAGGCAAGGAACCAGCAGTGTGCATACGAATGAGTCAGATCTGTCAAACGGATGCACACGCTACACTCAAGTTCTGGAACAGGACTGCAGTCCACAAGTGGACGAACAACCAGAACTTTCCGCCAGAGTTTACAGCTAGTGAAGGCGAAAAAGAAGAAGATGTGTTCAACTTTCCCTTCCCTATTATATTTTATGTTGCACATGTGCGACATTCCCTTCCCTATTAAACTGTATGATATACTGTATGTGTGCAACTTTCTCTACCCTATTATATTTTATATGTTGCGTGGATAAGACGTTCCCTACACTATTATGCTGTATAATATGTTGTATGTGTGCATCTTTCCCTTCCATTTCTAATTATATTTTACATGCAGCATGCAGATACCTGCTGAGTCTGAAGCTCATTCAGCGAGACCCGCTCATCGTTGATCCACGAAGTCACTGTGATGGTCCCTTTGTCTTTCAAATCATGAGTCCTGGAAAACAGAAACACATTCCAAATACAGGAGTAATGTCCCCATTGTTTGTAATTTACATGCATTTTTTTTTAGATTTTTAACTCCAAATTTTTGTCTGAGCAGCACAGTTAGGCTACTCTTTTCGATTTCCAACTGCCAAGGGATTTTTTTGTGTGTGCAAAAATACACACGGGCATCCGATCTCCTTACCCAGAGACCAGGGGAAATTACTAGAAGTCCACGTGAAAAAATCTCAGCCCTCACCGGGACCTGAACCCGGGATCTCTAGGACATGAGGCGGACACCATACCTTGAGACCACTCAGGCCCCAATCCAGGAATAGAGAAACTAGCTACCCTACCCCATTACATGTTCAGGGAAAGACAGTGCGTGGCCCATCTGGACTTGACTTTACTTACTGGAAGAAAAAAATGCTGCTTCAACTGAAACTTCTTCTTCTTTGTTCACAGGCTGTAAGCTCCAGTGGAAAGTCTTGGTTGTTCGTCTATTTGGACTCTGGCTTTGTGCAAGGGCCTGAGTTTTGCGTATACATCTATTTTACTGGCTTATTTGTGTGTAGCTGGTTGTTCCTTGCTGCTCAGGCAGATGGACTCTGACTTTGAAGGAAGTCCCCAATTAGTCAACTCCTACGATATGCTTGTTGAGGAGGCAGTGGGTCTATTCTTGTTTTCCTCACAGGGTAGCCCCAGAACCCACACAGGGTAGCCCCAGAACCCACACAGGGTAGCCCCAGAACCCACACAGGGTAGCCCCGGAACCCACACAGGGTAGCCCCAGAACCCACACAGGGTAGCCCCGGAACCCACACAGGGTAGCCCCGGAACCCACACAGGGTAGCCCCAGAACCCACACAGGGTAGCCCCAGAACCCACACAGGGTAGCCCCAGAACCCACACAGGGTAGCCCCAGAACCCACACAGGGATAACTGGAACAAAATAACAGCTGATGAACACTTGTATATATCATTATATGATACTTGGCTGAAGGGTAGAAGCTTAGGCACTGTTGGGTTGATGATGGCAAGAAGAAACTGACAAACAGCAGACATACCTGAGAGTAAGTGTCAGACTTAGATCATTGCTCATGAGCAGATCCTGGAGGGTGAAGATTGCCTGGCCTATCTGTGTCATCTGTGGATGCAGTCAGGTTAACATGCTATAAGACATTCATTTCCAACTGCACACACAAAAAGCAGCTGATAAATGCGCTGTTTGTACCAACTCTGTGCTATCAATGCAAGACATAGTCCTAGAAAAACACACCTAGAAAAACACAAACGCAAAATGGAGTCACAAATGAAGAACTAACAGCAATGGTAAGCACAGTACGGCTAAACTGATTTCCAAGAATAACAAAAAAATCAAACTGTGTGGTCATTTGGTCAGCCACTAACTGGAGCATACTACATGAGAACAGCAGTCTACAAGCCATGGGACTGACCAAGAAACAGATGGGTGGAGGGAGTACAAGAGACACGAAAGAAATGCATTATGACATTAACACAAGCTATGCAACTAGCAAAAGACAGGAAACTACACTTAACCCCTCTATGTGACACTTCACGACATGAGCAGTAGGATCAAAGTAGAGGGACTGACAACAAAACAAATTACTGGATCTGTGGATGCAGACGTGAAATACTACCTGCTGTAGTGCACCCGGACCAGGGCCCAGACCGCTCAAGACTTATCTACACTGTGGTCATCCTAGAAATAGCCCTAGCAACACAGAGAGAATCAACCTTTGTTTCCAAGCTGGAATGCATCTGTCTGAGCAGTGAGCAGCGAAAAGTCTGCACACACAAAAGCCAGCTCTATCAACTGGATGTGCTCGCAACATTTGTTCTGGAACTAGAACCTTAAAACTGCTGAATTCAAAAACACCTTAACAAACCTGACTCAGCAGCAAGCAAAACACGACAAGTTTATTGAACATCCATGCAAAATGACATTTCCTTAGCTCCTACTGTCACACCTTGTTGGTACATTAACAGGTTTTAAATTTAAAGCTGAGACAATCTGTTTCATTGCACCAGGTTTCATCCCATTTGACTTGGTCACTCATCCCACAATTGCTAGTCGCCTGCCAAGAGAAAGAGTTACAGTAAAAATTGCCTGGGATAGAAAGAGTTAGGCACTGATTACTAATTTTCAGAATCGACATCACAGCATACCTGGCACAACCACAGATGCTCCGTCTCCCGCAGGAAATGTCCAAATGTGTAGATGTTGGTTATTCAGTAGTATACTAGTTGTTCACACACTAAACTGTTAAATTTTAAAAAACTCATCGCCTCATATCACCTCATATCACCTCATCATGAAGGTGAAGAATAATTCATGGGAAAGTGCCCATTTGTGTATTTCATAATTGGAGATTCCCAGGGTCTCTCTTATTCCCTCTGTCCATTGCTCGTATGGTGGGTCTCTTCTTTCCACTGGTCTGTACATCACTGCTTGCTGTGGTACACTGTTCGCTGACATCCGTGTTATATGGCCAAACCATTTCACCTGTTGTCTTCTAATGAAATCCTGAGCTACCGCTACGCCCAAGCTCCTCTGGATTTCATCACTCCTGATCTTATCTCTTATTGTTATATTAAGAGACCTTTGTAGGAATCTTAATTCAGTTGTAATTTTCTTTTCTATTTTCTCTGTCTTTGTCACAGTTTGGCATTGATAGCACACAATTGGCAAGAAGATTGTGTCACAGAGTGCTTAAAAAATGAGTGCTTGAATAATAAAAATTGTCAAACAAATAATAAACATTTTTTCAAGCGCTTACAAAAAAACTGCTTGAGATAAAGAGTTAACAAGCAAAGGTCTGAAAGACTTACTGTTCCTGTCATTCTCTCCACAACATGGTGGACCGTCAGTCTGACCTTGGTGGCTGTGTCTATGCCAAACTTGTCTCCAAAACCAATTGTTTTTAGGAATTGTGGGTTATTGCTTTTCTGTAAGGTAACAAGTGAAATAGAAATAAACTGGTTGGCTGTCTACTTGTTTGGCTAGGTGGGAAATGATTGGCTGGATGGTTGGTTGATGGTTGTTTGGCTGGTTGGTTGGTTGTTTAGGTTGGGAGAGATCTGGTTGTTTTTGTGGACAGATGGAATTCTCTTTTTCCCTCTCCAAGTTTAGAGGTAAGTAAGTGTGCTAGACTAGTATTGGTACTTTACATTTGCATAGAAGCACACTCAGATTACAAGAAAATAAAAGCTGACGATGAATGGAGGTCACGACCTCAATATTCAATGACCTAGAAAATATCAAGGAACAAAATTACATATTTATGGGTATGAGTCAGCTTCATTTCTCACACTCACACATCTTATTTCCTATGCTCACTGACTTATGTAAAAGTTAATCACAGAAAAAATATCCCCCTAAGCTTTCAGAACTTAACAACACTGGACAGAGACTCTTTCACTAAATACTTCTCAAAACAGAGACTAGTATGTGTACCTGGAGTGTCTAGCATTTGGATTTGGAAAATATTAAGAATTTTCTGCAAACCGTAAGTGGATTTGTTGGCCAATGAACAAGCTCATAATCAGGCTACTGCTGCTCCTCTGGGTGGCAAACTACTTGATGATAAGGTAGATAAGGTGATGGCTTCCTGAGATTGAATGAGTAGTGCAGGAGAACAGAGAAGGCATGTCTAGTGAGACTGGTTCAGTGGGGAATGAGCAGAGAATCTGGACCACACTGAATCAGTCTGCTATTTGCACACAGCGTGGAAGAGCTTCTGCAGCACACAGCGTGGAAGAGCTTCTGCAGCACACAGGGTGGAAGAGCTTCTGCAGCACACAGCGTGGAAGAGCTTCTGCAGCACACAGCGTGGAAGAGCTTCTGCAGCACACAGCGTGGAAGAGCTTCTGCAGCACACAGCGTGGAAGAGCTTCTGCAGCACACAGAAGGATGGAAGAGCTTCTGCAGCACACAGCGTGGAAGAGCTTCTGCAGCACTTTGGGGGTGGAAGAGCTTCTGCAGCACACAGGGTGGAAGAGCTTCTGCAGCACACAGGGTGGACCTCACAACCGTTTCTTCTGAAAAAAAACAGCACACAGGGTGGTTTATACTGTGAAGCGTTATCTGCAGCACACAGCGGTGGAAGAGCTTCTGCAGCATCTTGCATGTGTGGAGGAGAGTGTGTTTAGGTGTGTTGCTGTATAAACAAAATGCAACACTTAAAAAGTAAGAGGGGCAGAAAAAGCAAGTGTTCTAGTGTTGCAGGCTTGACTTTGGGTGGAAGTCCTCTTCGTTGATTCTTTGAAGTAACGGGAGGTCGTCATCATTTATGGGTGTCGTATCTGTTCTTTCGTCGTCTGGTGGAAACACGGCAGCGGCTGAATGTTTGACACGCGGTGGGAAGAGCTTCTGCAGCTATCTTCTGGCTGGCCACCGGCCGAAGGATACAGCTGGGCGACTTGTAAGGAGGAATGTTTTTCTTCGTCAGATTTTTGTTTTTGCAGTGGTCATTTTGACTCTCTGTATTGTCGTATTTTCTGTTTAGTTCCTGGAAATACCTTCAAGTGAGACAAAAACTTTTCTCTTGCTTATTTTCATGGAGCTGTGCAAGCACACGAACTAATACGTGCTGCTTCTCAGTTTGTAGGCATAATCGCCCATATTTTTTTATTGCGTTTCTCTAATTCTTCCATAACAACACTATCTACAGAAGTCCAAGTCTATGTAAAGACTTTATTTCTTTTCTTCCTCAATCAAAAAACTTTCTTATTTTCTCTCTTCTGTAAACAACCATTGACTCTGTCTTTCAATCTCAATCTTTCTCTCTGCCTTGCTCCCTCACTCTTGCCTACATTACCTCCACAATTTCTGTATGGTTGTGATGCATCCAGATCTGCTGCTGTGGAGGCAGCATTGTATGGACAACAACTAAAGCATTTGGTGGAACATCAGAACTGTCATTTGGTAGACTACAACAGGCTGCAGAAGAAGAAACAAGAGAAGTTCTCTTTTTAAAAAAAACCTGGCAATATCAGTTGGCTCACTAAGCAAACTTGAGGTAATGAGCAAGATATTGACCAAGGAACACCTTTTTTTATTCAGGCAGTTAGTGACCAAATGGTTCAGCTTTTTAACGCAGTTAAATTTAATTTTCACCAGGAGGGCTAATCCGGTCAACAAATGCCCACAGAAGTCGGATGTATTGGCCGAAAGGTACAAATATCACAGCCATGCTGTAATCGGACACAACGCAATTACAGCATCGGATGAAAGCCAAAGAAGAAGACTAAGCAAACTGTCATTTGTACAAGATTGACAAGCCAAATTTCTTCTTCTTATAGTCCATGCCGTGTGGCGTTGGTAGTTGTGTTTATCCACAATTTTCAGACTCATATACTTTCAATCAGTTCTGACACAGATGATCTTCCACGCAACAATGTCAAACACTCCCTCTGCCACTTTTCCCTGCCAACTTTCCCACTGTCACAATAAACTCCAGTTTTCTCATTCTCATGACATGACCCAAAATGTAGATTTCTCCTTCTGCTGTGAGCAGTTTTCATGTGAGTCAGTTTTTTTGTTTTTTGTTTTGTTTTTTTCAAGACATATTCATTATTCTTTTTATCTGTTCAGGACATTCTCATCCTATATCTATAAAACCACATCTCCACAGCTTCCAAACAATGTTTTACTAATCGACTAACTGTCCATGATTCCCTTCCTTATATCAGAATAAGAGATATATATATATAAAGCTTTAAAGAATTCTTTCTTTTCTCAACTGAGAGATGATGCGCTGCCGAATTTACCATTCTGTAAATCAAATTCACCCCTTTTACTAATCAGATTCAACCTTTTGGAAATCAAATTCAGCCTTTCACAGATTAGGTTTTTCGACAACAATATTTGTAACAGTTGCAACAAAATTATTTCTTCTAAACAGACAAAATATTTCTAGCATAGAATTTAACATCTTTTTGTTTCAAGTCCTCAATTAGGTTTATCACTAGAGTGTATGGTGGTTTTTTCCAAAACTGAACACACTTCAACAGGAAAATTGTGGCATAGATTAATTGCATATTCAACAGTTACTCCAAATATTTTTTCGGAAATTTCTTCAGAGATTACTGCAGAAGCGAAATGACGATAATCTGGAGAAAATGTGGTAGGTTTTGGACAACATAAACCTCCACATAGCTCAGGAAGTGTGTGATCTCGTTGGTCAGGTATGGTAAACTTTATTATTTCTATCACTGTTATAAACTAATCTATGATTAACTAGGTGTGATCTCATTGGTCAGATATGGCAAACTTTATTATTTCTATCACCGTTATAAACTAATCTATGACAAACTAAATGTGAGTTTGTGGTCAGATATGACAAACTTTATTATTTCTACCACCCTTATAAACTAATCTATGATTAACTGTGATTTGTTGGTCAGATATGGCAAACTTTATTATTTCTATCACCGTTTATAAACTAATCTATGATTAACTAGGTGTGATCTTGTTGGTCAGATGTGGCAAACTTTATTATTTCTATCACTGTTATAAACTAATCTATGATTAATGGCAAACTTTATTTTTTCTATCGCCGTTATAAACTAATTTATGATCAACTAAGTGTGATCTCGTTGGTCAGATATGGCAAACTTTATTATTTCTATCACTGTTTTAAACTAATCTATGATTTAGTAAGCGAGTAGAAGTAAACAGTAAAGGACCTTTTTCAACTGGACACATGATGACAGATTCATAATTTTACAGACCAATGGGCACTTGATTGGGTCAGCATCACATCTGCCATCATTAACCTTATGTATATTTCATGGCTGGACCCACTTGAGTCTGCCGCAGCCTGGGCTAATTTCTCTATTTTATTTGTGTTCACCGCCTGTAAACTACGGAAAAGAATTCTGGTTTTTTGCTCCACTTCTGGACTTTTGTCATATTCCAGAATTTGACTATTGTGAGCACATCCGATTTAAAGATCTGGCTCATTTTTATGCAAACTGCCGATTTCTCGCCTCTCAGGCAGATGTACTCCAACGTTGAAGGAAACACCCCTAATTATCTAAATTTATGAAATGCTTGTGGGGGGGGGGGGGGGGGCGTTCTATTCTACAATGGGGCCTGAGAATCCAGACAGGGAGTCCAAAGTACTGTGCTGCAGGCCCCTAATTCAGGTGTCCTGTTACCCTACACAAATGCATGTAACTAGAAAAGCTTCAACACTCATATATTGCCAGGACAATGAGAGGAACATTTTACCAATAGAAATCTCCAAAACTGGGTCCTGACTTGTATTATCTGCAATACATCAAAAGAAATTATAGGTCGTTAATGTTTCTTCCTGTCTTAAACTCTGACACCAATGATAACACATTTTTATATTCACTTTCTAAATTTATTACACTCTCAGTCTCTATTTATTGTGCTCACAAACTCTGTTTATTATTACACTCATGCTCTATTTATTACACTCACATACTCCATTTATTACACTCATACTCCATTTACTGCACTCACGTACTCCATTTATTACACTCATGGACTCCATTTACTGCACTCACATGCGTGGCTCTCTAGTGTAGTTGGCTAAACTGGATTGCGTGGTGACTGGGTGACGAACTCCTTGTGGTCCGGGTTCACGCCCGGGGGTAGGCAGAAAAGCCACATTTTCTCTCAGATTTACGGTATTTACAATGGAATCAAGGCCAAAAGGTTGAGATATCCATAATACCAAGCCTAAGGGTTAACAACTGATGGCTTCTGGATACTAAAACAAACAACAACAAACAAACTGCACTCACATACTCCATTTATTAAACTTATGGACTTCATTTACTGCACTCACATAATCCATTTATTAAACTCATGGACTTCATTTACTGCACTTACATACTCCATTTATTACACTCATGGACTCCATTTACTGCACTCACATACTCCATTTATTACACTCACACTCCATTTACTGTACTCACATACTCCATTTATTACACTCATGGACTTTGTTTACTGCACTCACATACTCCATTTATTACACTCATGGACTTTGTTTACTGCACTCACATACTCCATTTATTACACTCACACTCCATTTACTGCACTCACATACTCCATTTATTACACTCACACTCCATTTACTGCACTCACATACTCCATTTATTACACTCACACTCCATTTACTGCACTCACATACTCCATTTATTACACTCACACTCCATTTACTGCACTCACATACTCCATTTATTACACTCACACTCCATTTACTGCACTCACATACTCCATTTATTACACTTATGGACAGGATATTCACAGCTTACCAGAGTTTTAATATCTTCAATGTTATAACTAAATTTTGGCTGACATGTAGTTCTGTCTGTGGACATTTTCCTGTTTGCTCAAGTCTAAAAACTTTAACTGATCAAGGTTTCATCTACTGATAAACCTGGCTAATCCCGTTTTTAAAGATGAGAGGATTAACTCCCTTGCACTGGGTTTAATCCCACTTGACACAGTCTCTCTGAGATCACGGTTTAGTGTGGCTCCTCTGGGAGAAATAAGCAGACAAAACAAACTGTCTGAAATTCAAAGTTCATGGTGGAATTTGGCTCCATTAGCAGAAAAATACAATCAAACCCTTCAGAAAAACAAATTCAACGATGGAGTTTAGCAGTATCGGCAGAAATAAACAAACAAACCTGTCTGAGACTCAAAGTCCACGGTGGAGTTTGGCAGTATCGGCATAAATAAACAAACAAACCTGTCTGAGACTCAAAGTCCACAGTGGAGCTTGGCTCCACTGGCAGGTGGACTATGTCGTTGCCTGTCTTGGTCTGCAGCTGCTCTCTCAGACTCTGCAGCTGCATCTTTAAACACTCATGGCTGGCTATGTGCAAGGCTTGGATCCATTCATCCCTCATGGCTTCTGTGCTGGCTCCAAAACGAAATGCTTGCTCCTCTCCCTCAAACACTATTCGTTAGGGATTAGAGAGCAACAGTCTATACAAGCTGCAGCAATCAAATGTTTCAGATTTCTCCACCCACACACACACATGCACGCACATACACACACAGCTCTGTTGGTACCTTTCCATCTTTCCTGATCATAATGTTTTGTGGTGCTTTAGAAAGGCATGGAAATCATAGTCTATAGTTATCCAATTAAGGCTAGGCTTTCACCTCTCTACAGTACAAAGCCTGGACAGTATTGTAGAAATCTTGTGCTTCCCATACAGCACGATCCCTCACTCAGTCTGCCTTGTTAACTCCAAAGGAACAGTAACACCAATTTGTTTGGAACAAAGCTGCAAAAGCTGCCAGATCAGAAGAGCAGTTCCTCGTGTGGGTTCAGGGCTTCATTGTGGGGAAAGCAAGAACAGACCCACTGACTCCCCAACAAGCATGTCATAAGAGTTGACTAAGTGGAGGCTTCCTTCGAAATCAGAATGCATCAGTCTGAAATACAAGGAACTAACAGTCTGCATACAAAAAAGTTAGATCTGTGCAACTTTCAGGTTCTAGAACAATACTAAAATGTAGAGGCAGGTGAACAACTAGAACTTTCTGCTGAAGTTTACAGCTGGTGAATGCAAAGAAAAAGAAGAAGAGCAGTGCCTGTCTGTCCATCTATTGAAACTTTCACTCCTAGACCAACTGCCAGCCAAGGCTAATGACTTGGTCTCAACTGCCATAACAACAGGTTTTCTAGTCAGATTTCATCATTCTATAGGTTTCATATCTGTGCCAGGGTATGCAGATGTGCAAGGAAATGAGCAAGTTGATAGGCAAAGCTACTGTGGAGTGCAGACATGCCATGGAAAAGGCCGATATTCTGAATCCTCTATCAAGAAGTAAGACGCTTGCGAGACCCAAGAGATTACAGTGAATCTGCAACCATGGCCAGACTGCAGGTTAACATGTTAAAAGGGGTGTGGCCAGACTAGAGCACTATTGCAGGAAGTTAAACAAGATTAGGAAACCAACACAGAACTGGTTTCGTCAGCCAGTACACACTGCAGGATTTACTAAGGAAAGGATCCGAGTACTTATGAACTGAATGGTTCAATGTGCAATGAGGATAATCTGTCGACTAACTATTTCATCATTCTAGAAAAAGGCTAATAAAAGCCAGCATTATTCTAAGATGACGAAATGCAACTTGAAAGCCTATTATTATGGCAGGGCAGACCAAGCCCTTACCCTTGGCTGGCAGCTCCTCCACTCAAAGCCAATGGCACACGTGGGATCTCAGTTTTGTCAACGCTGCTTATAAATTTGCCTAAACAGAGAAAGAACAGCTAGTCATGACTAGTGTTATGTGATAGCTCAGTCACATCTGACTGTCTAAAACACACACACACACATATACATCTTTGTGTTCATAAGTGCATATAAATGACGAGGTGTGTGCGTAATTTTGTGGGTCTGTGTCTAATCATATATGCGCGGGCTCGCTCGCTCGCTCATTCTTACTCACACTCACACTCTCGCTCGCTCGCACGCACGCATGCATGTACGCACACACAGAGACTGTCCCTGTGAACAAGTGTACACTTAACAAATAAGCCTGTCACTGTGAACAAGTGACCACCTAACAAATAAACCTGTTACTGTGAACAAGTGTACACTTAACAAATAAACCTGTCACTATGAAAAAGTGTACACTTAACAAATAAACCTGTCAATGTGAACAAGTGTACACTTTACAAATAGACCTGTCACTGTGAACAAGTGTACACTTAACAAATAAACCTGTCACTGTGAACAAGTGTACACTTAACAAACAGACCTGTCACTGTGAACAAGTGTACACTTAACAAATAGACCTGTCACTGTGAACAAGTGTACACTTAACAAATAAACCTATCACTGTGAACAAGTGTACACTTAACAAATAGACCTGTCACTGTGAACAAGTGTACACTTATAAATAGACCTGTCACTGTGAACAAGTGTACACTTAACAAATAGACCTGTCACTGTGAACAAGTGTACACTTAACAAAAAGACCCGTCACTGTGAACAAGTGTACACACACCAAGTAAAACTGTCATTGTGAATAAGTGTACACACACCAAGTAAAACTGTGAACATGTGTACATGAACATGTGTACACTCACCAAGTAAAACTGAACCTGTGTACATTCACCATGTAAAACTGTGAATACGTGTACACTCAACAAGTAAAACTGTGAATATGTGTACGTTCACCAAGTAAAACTGTAAACATGTGTACATTCACCAAGTACATCTGTGAACATGTGTACACTCACCAAGTTAAACTGTGAACATGTGTACACTCACCAAGTTAAACTGTGAACATGTGTACAATCACCAAGTACATCTGTGAATATGTGTACACTCAACAAGTAAAACTGTGAGCATGTGTACCCTCACCAAGTAAAACTGTGAACATGTGTACCCTCACCAAGTAAAACTGTGAACATGTGTACCCTCATCAAGTAAAACTGTGAACATGTGTACCCTCACCAAGTAAAACTGTGAACATGTGTACACTCACCAAGTAAAACTGTTAACATGTGTACACTCACCAAGTAAAACTGTAAACATGTGTACCCTCACCAAGTAAAACTGTGAACATGTGCACACTCACCAAGTACATCTGTGAATATGTGTACACTCACCAAGTACATCTGTGAATATGTGTACACTCACCAAGTACATCTGTGAATATGTGTACACTCACCAAGTAAAACTGTAAACACGTGTACACTCACCAAGTAAAACTGTAAACATGTGTACACTCACCAAGTAAAACTGTAAACACGTGTACACTCACCAAGTAAAACTGTAAACACATGTACACTCACCAAGTAAAACTGTAAACATGTGTACACTCACCAAGTAAAACTGTAAACACGTGTACACTCACCAAGTAAAACTGTAAACATGTGTACACTCACCAAGTAAAACTGTAAACATGTGTACACTCAACAAGTAAAACTGTAAACATGTGTACACTCAACAAGTAAAACTGTAAACATGTGTACACTCAACAAGTTAAACTGTGAACATGTGTACACTCAAAAAGTAAAACTGTGAACATGTGTACACTCACCAAGTAAAAATCCACTGTTGACATCCTCATCCACTGCCAGTTCCACAGCACATCTCTCCAACACTATCACCCCTAGAGGATCAGCTCTCTGCAGCATAAACATAACATCACATGTTTATCGCTTGAAATGTAAGGATCTGGATGGTTTTCAACATGGTGGAGCAGAGGCAAGTAGACTTTTAACTCTTTGAGTACCAAGGAACGCATCATACAATAAACGCAAGATGTGCCGATTATACACCTCTTTTGACTACTCCTTGGGCCTCTGATGTTAAATCCCCTGGGACTCAAAGAGTTAATCAGGCTGCAACTGGCACTATCATTATAGGAACTTCCCTGGCTCTTGAGGGAGAGAACACAGCACGTGTGGGAATGGCAAAGTCACTGTACAGACCAGCTCTAGTCCAGTAAGTCAAGCTGTAGAAGATATGTTGCTAGAATGTTGCTAGAATGTCCAGCATCAGCAGCTGTGATGCCGTAGAACTAGAAAACTTGTATACAATCAACAAAACAATCCCATTTTTAACTTACAATGACCATCACAGTTACATTGCAGCCTCTAAGTGCTGTATGTTTTCCACCATTGCCAGTGCTCTAACATTTATTAAAACTCCCTATTTAAAGAAGCTCTACTAAAAATGTCCTAAAAACATTCAATTATTTTCTGTAATTCAAGTTAAGCAGCCTCCATATTATAAGTGTAAAGTGTACTTACACTGTCTTTGCTTTTGAAGTAAAACAGTAAATTTCCCTTCAGACGAATGTAGCGATTTACATAGGCTGAAAAGACAGAGACAGAAATACAATGTATACAGATAATCACACATTTACACAACAGAGCTAATGAAATGTCATCATCATCAGGTGCCTTGCCGGCTGACGTGGGCGATCATGCCTCTCCACAATCTACGATCTCCTGCAGCATGTATCAGTGCATGTGCCGACACAACTCCATGCCATGCAACAAGACTCAAGCATCTTCTCTCGTTGTCTTCCTCTATCCCTCCTTCCACAGATCTTTCCGGTGGTCACAACATGTTCTATTTTCACTCTTCTTATAATATGGCTGAAAAATGATGACTGTCTCCTTCTGATGTCTGTGATGAGTTGTCTTCTGGCTCCCCCCTCTTTCAAAACCTCTTGGAAATGTATACGATTAATACACATCATTACATGCTTAAACAACTGGAGATGTGATTTTTGAGAAGATCTCATAAAGAGAGGAGTAAACTAACACTTCAGTAGTGACAGCTGCAGAAGACGTAAAATCAGTCAACATAACTGCAAGGAAAAAGTTAATAAAACACAAAGAAAAGGCAAGATATAATCAGACTGCTGTTTGTACCACTGGAGTTGGAACTTTGCACTTTGCTTGATAATCTCAAACAGCAACATATGGCCCTTCCAAACACCCATCTTTCGCACAGCAGTTGTATTTTATCAATAAATCATGTTATTTTCATATAATAATATGCAAAAGCAGCAGGTCATCATGCCAAGGTTAGCTCAGGGGTCTGTCAAAGCAGCAGATCATCATGCCAAGGTTCAGGGGTCTGTCAAAGCAGCAGATCATCATGCCAAGGTTATCTCAGGGGTCTGTCAAAGCAGCAGATCATCATGCCAAGGTTATCTCAGGGGTCTGTCAAAGCAGCAGGTCATCATGCCAAGGTTATCTCAGGGGTCTGTCAAAGCAGCAGGTCATCATGCCAAGGTTATCTCAGGGGTCTGTCAAAGCAGCAGGTCATCATGCCAAGGTTCAGGGGTCTGTCAAAGCAGCAGGTCATCATGCCAAGGTTAGCTCAGGGGTCTGTCAAAGCAGCAGGTCATCATGCCAAGGTTAGCTCAGGGCTCTGTCAAAGCAGCAGATCATCATGCCAAGGTTATCTCATGGGTCTGTCAAAGCAGCAGATCATCATGCCAAGGTAATCTCATGGGTCTGTCAAAGCAGCAGGTCATCACGGCAAAGTTACCTTAGGAGTCACGTTGTCACCTTTTTTATTTAATGCGCACACAACAAGGGTCACACGCATCCAGAATATGGGACTAGTACACCTTGTGTCTTCTGCTGATGATGTACTGACATATCGGCAGGGTACAGAGAAGAGATAGTTAAAGCACTGTAGCAGGAACTTCACAGACTGACCAGATGACGTTAGGAATCAGGGCAATAGTGACAGGGTTCTCACTAAACAGAGCTGTCAAAACGTCGACGCCTATGTCAGTATGTGTATAGATATCGAAAGGTCACTAGACCTTAAATATGTTGGTACCCAATTTGATGGATGTCCTTCCTTCAGATATTATGTCGATGGTATCATTATAAAGGTAAAAAAAAAAGGCTCAGGATGATGGTAGCAGCTGAGATGGGGAAAAAAGACTGCTTAATAAAGGTCTGGTGCTCTTTGTGATTAACTATGGCCTTATTAGCTGCCACGACATCAGCAGACATCAGCTGGAAATAATACAGTGTGCAAAATGAAGCCATAAGACTGATCTCTGGGTTCACAAGAGACACCTTATGTCATGCAATGCGATAAGTCATCAACCTGTTAGGCATGGTTAGACATAAGGAAGAGTCGACTACGCGAAGAGAAAAGAGCAGTTGAATCAACGACGTTGAAGTGGAAGGACGCATCGTCAGAGCCCCTGATAACTGATGTTATTATTTTGTATACCTGTACATCTATGTGTTAGGCTGGAGTTAAGTGTCCAGGTTATCTGTAGGAATTGCAGCAGTAGCCCGGTCCAGCATGATGGAGGTTTGTGAGGCGAGATCAGAAGATCTCAAGCAATATGGCAGGAAGCAGATGGAGGGTCTAGATAATTTTCACAGTATTGTACATCTGCCTGTATGAGCTCTCTGGTGAATGTATATCCAAGTGACAGGTGTCAGAGAGACAGTCCCGTAATCACAAGCAGTGGATTTGCGCAAGCGGGTAATGATTTCCCATAGCAACCAGGGAACATATGGTGGCTGCAGAAGTCTTCCAGAGTGTCCTGAATGTGTATGCACTGGTAGTAAGGATGACTGTAGCAGTATGAAATTAGTATCTCGTGATGCCATTCATTGTCCTGATGTTGAATACAGTGAATAGACTTTGACGGTCAAAATATATCCGGCGTTCTCTATTACTGTTGAGCCGGATTTGTGACTTGTAAGTGTGACACTATTGAGTATTCCCTAGATACTTGGCAAGTCGGTGGTATAACCTGAACAACACATGCCTCAAATATGCTGTATCTTTGACTTTCATATACTGATGCCTTTTTCACTGTCATTATAACTTCAATTAGGTTTCCACTTTGAAACCATCTGACATTGAAAAAGTTGACTATTATTGCATCTGCTGCTCTACACATATGGTGTATTCTGAAGCAAATACCAAACATGCCAACTTTTTTTTTTATGTGAGAAGTGGTTTTATGAACATACATACCTTCACTTTTCTTAAAGAAGCCCTCATGCTTTTCTTTCATGAACAAATATCCTTCCTTGTCAAAGTTTGTTGTCTGCTGAACAACAATAGCCAACTCCCTTGCGTTAAACCGCATTCTTCTCAAGAGTTGAATGTTTTCTTACACAAGTCAAAGGAAATGACTGCAAATGTATCTGTGTTCTAATGCTATGATGTCTGAACTTCCTTCTGTAAATATGAGGGCAGAAATAATAAAAGGAATATTCAAATAATAAACATATTCAATCAATCAAAAAATGAATTTTGGATTAATAGATCTTTTATCAAGGCTGTACACTCTCTCAGATGCCATTCATCCATTTCTTGATGTTATCAACCCACTAGTTAACACAACTACTCACTCACTGCACCACACTTTAGTATGACACTGACAGTATATTTATGTAAGCCTGTTAATAGAGATGTTTCTATTCTTGGCATCGGTTTATACCATATCTGTCTTGTTGTAACTTCTGGCAATATGATCATCTAGATACATGGCAAGTGTGCGATGCGTTCCCCCATCACATGCTACAGGTTTAAGTGGTTCAGTGTATCTGGCCAGAGGCGTAGCGAGGGATTAATCCTAATTAACCCAGAAAAATACTGTGTTACGAGGAAATCTTTTATCTTTATAACATATTTTTTTTCCTATATGGCCAATGACCAGGTTGGTAATGATACATTTTGCCCAAGGAACTAAAAAAAAAAAAGGTTGTCAACCGCTAAAATAGACCACTGTGATCTCATTCAGGAAAGTTAGGTTTGATTCCTTGGCGAGGTGGTGAGATTGGGGGGGGAGTCACATTCCTACACTGCTTCAAACAGTGGTATAACAGTAGTAAGACCATTTCTGCACTAAGCCCATTGTTTGTTGTTGGTACTATTCCATTTGCTTTTACTAAGTATCATTAGTTAGTTAGTTAGTTATTCCTCTTGTGCCAAAGATGGCGCATAGGGCAGAGGTCATAGCTTTCCACGTCTGTCGGTTCGTTGCCACTTGATGTAGGTCTTGAGTGCGACTGAGACCCATGGTTGAGCTCTCCCTTGTGATGGTTCTGCGGAGAGTTTCTTTTGGTCTTCCCTGTTTTCTTTTACCCTCTGGTGACCATATGAAGGCTTGGTGGGGAAGTCTCTGTATGTCCATTCTGAGTACGTGACCGATGTAATTCCAGTGACGCATTCTAATAAAATCAGACACATATTTTTGTTTTGTTTCCTGTCTTATAGATGTATTGGACCTAAAGTCCGACCAGTGAACATTCAATAGTTTTCGGAGGCATCTATTCTCGAAAGCGACTAGTTTCATACACAATTAAAAACATACATAAATTGTATAACTCTGCTTAGAAATAACATACAGACTTGACTGAGGCACCAACACATTTTATTTTGCCTCCTTCATTTAAAAAATATCTAGATTTTTTTATATAACTCCTCTTACACTGTCCAAACTGACTTCTGTCCAATCTTATTTTATTGTTATACTGTTTGGTAATTCTGTGAAAGCTTTATCCTAATTCCACCATTTTTCTTCCTTCTGTTGCAGAACAATGAGCAGTGATAAGATCCCTCTGGTCGGAGGGTGTCAAAAGTTCAGAAATTCATCATAGACTATCATCGCAATATTGGGGAAATGCACTGTTATGTAAAATTTGTGTTTTTGTGGATCGAAAAGTTTAGAAGTGGTCGAACAAATGTAATACAAGAAGAGGGAGCAGGACAGCCATCAACCTCCACTGCATATGACAACATTCAGCAAGCTCGAAAGATGGTTCTGGTGAATAGGCGAATTATGATCACTAAGGTAGCATCTGCGTTAAACATTAGTCATGGTTCTGCACATCAAATCATCCATGACGAGCTCGGTTTTCATAAAGTCTGTTCACGGTGGGTACCAAGAAAGCTTACTGCCTCAGACTTAGATGTGCAAAATGTGGTGCAAATGTTCCTTCATGACCAACCAAAAACCTTTCATTTGGAGGGAATATGTAAGCTTGTTGAAAGTTAGGAAAAATGCATTGATACAGGGGGAGATTGCATAGAAAAATGATGTGCATCCTGAAACCCTAGCTTCATGTAAATGAATTGTAGAACAGAAAAGTGAAGCTAATTTTTCCCTCTCTCTCTCTCTCTGCTGTGTGAAAGATGGAAGTTTGGAAGGGCCGAATGTAAGACAGGCCTGCGTGCCTAATTTGTAACCCCTTGAAAATAAAGTTTGTTCGTTCGTTCGTTCGCTTGCTCTCCCTCCCTCCCTCCCTCTCTCTCTCTCTTTCTCTCTCTCTTATCTACAAATTTTTCATCAGCCAGTTTTGATATTATACCTACCATCATCTGGTCTAATAACTGTCTCCTTTAAATTAAAACACTTCAAACAGCTGGCTTATCAAGTCATGACGATTCTTGCTCTGTCGTCATTATCTAAAATAATACAATAAGTTGTGAACTGGATTAGAACCATGATAGAATATTTCAATAACTTAACAATTTACCAACAAAAAGAATTTTGTTTCTCAAAACTATGACGAGAACAATTGACTAATATAATAACTAAGTACCAAATTTTTCCATGAATAAGACATGTTTCTGCATATTATTTATTAAGTTTAAAATTGTGGTTCCCCTCATACATGCGATTCAAATATTTATGTATTTATTTATTTAACATTTTTTTTTTTTAAATAGACATACATGGGGGTCATTTGGGGCTCACATGGAGCAAACATTTAGAAATGCAGAAGGGAAGGCCTTAGCCCTACTAGGGCTAATTAGGAAACTGGCAGGTAAAAGTTGGGGAGCAAATGGAAAAACCCTAAAGAAAGTTTATAAGAAAGCAAAAAAAAAAAAACAATAAGAGTTTGGTGCAACACCCTGGTCAGCAGCTTCTAATTCCCATCTACAATCGTTAGATAAAAGAGTAAAAAATAAGGCCCCTAAAATCATCATAGGATCCTTGAAAACTGCCCCAATCCTGGAGATGCAGAAAATTACTGTAATGTAGACACTGTCCAATAGATTAGGCACTCAAGCTAAGATCCCTACGCAGAAATGTAATAGTATGCAGTCACATATAATGAAAGCAAGATTGCCAAGACTGGATGATCTGGCAATGGGCATCTCAAACATAGCAGCTTTGGCTATCAGAAGAAAAGACTAAAAAAACAGTATCAAGCAGACTTACCCATGAGAACAATACCGCTGAAACCTAGCCTATATCCTTTACCTTGGCAGCAAGGTATGGACACAATACAAATAATGACTTCAGTCAATGGACCAACAGCCAGAGATGAGTCCAATGACCTTTGAAGTCAATCAGCTCTCTTATTATGATCTAGGAACACTATCTTGAACAGTCATGGATACATGATAATAAAATAGATCAGCGATCGGTGCAGAGAAAAATGGAGGTAATCGCATCCTTATCACATACCCAGACAGCCACCACCGCACAAAGTATACTCTGCAGTGCTTTCTGCCTCACTATGATGGTACACTTTCCCAGTATTCATCAACAGTTGTAGGATTTATTAATGTGATTCTTTGCCACAATGACAAGTGATAAATGACATTATAATGTTCCCATATCATCAACGTACAGAGCGTACCACATACACTGCTGCATCTACTTAACAACCATTAACGCCACCTTCCTTTATCTCTCTCTCTCTCGCATGAATGCGCGCGCTATCAGCCTTTGCGCACAACTAGGGATGGATATTCTTGACTTCTATGAAGTATGCAGTCCTCCAAGAAGCCACTGAAAACCCCATATTTGATCACTTAAATGTAAACAGTTTAGATTTCTGTGTCAGTTAAGAACCGATATGGAGCTGCTGGCTGAAGGATTAAGAATAACGGACTCTTGTGTGAGAGGCACGGGTTCAAATCTTCTGTAAGGTCATTGCTTTTTTTTTTTTTTTTAAACCTGTGGACGTGGGGGTCAAAATTCTAACCTATACAGTCTATGGCGATTGCATTAGCCATGGTTCCTAATAATATTATAAGTATATTAGTAATATTGTTTTCTTATTCCCCCTCCCCCTACCCCCCCCCCCCCCCTTTTTTTTTGGGTTGCTTACACTAGCGACCACAGTTTCGGAAATTTGTGATCTTTTTGGCAATTTCTGTTACCATGGAAACCGTTTGAAACTTGTTTCGGAAATGTCGGCTGGGGTTTCGGGATGGGTCCTAATCTCTCATGAAATTTTGCGATTGGTGTGATTTTCACCCACTGTAAATAGCTGAAAACGGCGGGAAGGAACCCGATTAACAGCGCATGTCTACGACAGCCGGACGTCCTCTGTTTTTTCTGTTACATCAGTTTGATTGAAAATAGCGATAAGTATTCAGGGTTGGCTTTAGGCTTTACCTGTTACTAGACATGGTAATGCTAGTTATAATTGAATTCTCCGTCCAATTTTACATTTTTATATAAAATTTCTTTCTTGTCAGTGGCTAGGTAGATGTACAATGACATTTTTCAGGCAATCGCTGGCTCAGCCAGTGGCTGTGTCTCATTGCCTGCCATCTTGTCCAATGACAGTCAAATGTAAACAAAGCCAAAACGATAAGTGCCCAGTTTGGTTGCACAGAGAAAACTTCTTGTTTCTGGGTCACAAGTTTTAGCAGCTGCTTTCTACATCTCATCTCCACATATCTCAGCTCAGAAATGACATACAAGCCTAAATGAGGTACAGCTGGAAAGAGGTTGTTTACAGCTATCTAACTGTGCTGGTTTTATTGGTGTAGAGGGCATTTTAAAAATTTTAAAGTAACTAGCTTACACACAGAAAATAAGCAGCCGTGGGTTTTTTTTTCCAGGGCCTATGCTCTATGGGAAATAAATAAATGACAGGATTGTGACCTGTGGAATGTTTACCTAAACTGAGTTCCAGGCTGTATGACGATCTACAAAGACGTGATATTCTGCTCCACTGCTACAGTACTAGTCTCCAAGGCAACAGGATTCTCGGAAGCTGCAGTTAGTTGAGTTGAGGGACTCAACTGTGTTGTCTCCTGTCACAGCAGTCACCTGGTTATTTATAAACCTACTGTTTTTAAATTTAATGCTGTAACATGCCAATGAAAAACACGAGT